GGAAAGCCAAGCTGCAGTTCTACACGGCCATCATCGAGTCCATCCTCACCTCCTCCATCACCTCCTCCATCACCTCCTCATCACCTCCTCCATCACCTCCTCCATCACCTCCTCCATCACCTCCTCCATCACCGTGTGGTTCGCTGGAGCCACAGTCAGGGACAAACAGAGACTACAGTGCATTGTGCGCTCTGCAGAGGAAGTGATCGGCCGCAGCCTTCCATCGCTGCAGGACCTGTACGTCGCCCGAGCTCGAGGCCGGGCTGGTCGTATCACAGCCGACCCCTCTCACCCTGCACATGGACTATTCCAACCACTCCCCTCTCAACTGCACATGGACTATTCCAACCACTCCCCTCTCACCCTGCACATGGACTATTCCAACCACTCCCCTCTCACCTGCACATGGACTATTCCAACCACTCCCCTCTCACCCTGCACATGGACTATTCCAACCACTCCCCTCTCACCTGCACATGGACTATTCCAACCACTCCCCTCTCACCCTGCACATGGACTATTCCAACCACTCCCCTCTCACCTGCACATGGACTATTCCAACCACTCCCCTCTCACCCTGCACATGGACTATTCCAACCACTCCCCTCTCACCCTGCACATGGACTATTCCAACCACTCCCCTCAGGCAGGAGGCTGCGGTCCATCAGGACTAGAACCTCTGCTGTTGGACTCTTGAACACTTCTTAAGCTGTCCCCCCGCCCTTTATAAAGTCACTTTACTGCCCATACGGTAAAAAAAATATTTTATTATTATTTTTTAATATGCCTTCTCTACTCTTTACCTCTCTTTCCGCAATTTCCAAGTCTGTGACTTCCTGTTACTTGCGTGGCAATAAAAATGATTCTGATTCAGTTATGAACTCATGGTGAACTGTTGTGAGAGGATTTAATGCATGAATCACGATTAATAAATTTAAGTTGTCATCACAAAGAGCTGACAAGTAATGTATCATTCATTGCACTACATCTGTTTATCACTTTCCAGTGGTCTTTCACAAAACAAATGAACATAAAAACATAAAAATGAAAAACAGGAATATTCTCTTGGAACATCTCTTCTTTAACACAGTTATTTTTTTATCTTTCCAATTCAGTACAGTACCGTTTTTGGTTTTCTTGGTTCCGGTGTAATATTTAAACAAGTGATGCACCAATACCACTTTTTTAAAAACCAATACGAGTACGAGTACCTTAACTCATTCACTGCCCATGACGACAAAAGTCGTTCTATTGTATAGTGACGCTCACTGCCCAAGACGACTTAGACGACTTTTTCATGTTATTACATGGGAGGCTACAGTAATGTCTGGCGCACCTTATGCATGCTCCACAATACTGATATATAGTGCAAATGTACCTGTAATGATAAATCAACACCAGTAGGATGCAGTGTCGCGCCACAGGAGAGCTTAAAAGCCAGTGGAGAGGGGAAGGAAGTGTGGGTTGTTTGGAGAACGTGGTGAGTAGCGGTAGCATTGAGAGAGAGTAGCATAGCGAGTAGCGAATTTAGCGATAGTTTAGAGATAGTTGAGATTATATAGGTGAGAGTGATGGCGAGTTATAAGCAGTTGACACTGCTTGAGAGTTTGGCTCGTCGATCAGTGAGTCAGGGAGAGAGGGAAGCGAGTTTAGATCCCGGCGAGGGTCCATCATCGCGGCCAACTTCGCGCAGAGGGAGAGCGAGGAGCAGGGAGACGCCTCCTGCCTCTCGCAGTGTTTCACCTGCGGCTTTTTCTGACTCTGATGACTTCAGCGAACCTGATCCTGACTCATCAGATGAGTGGTTGCCGTCTGATATCAGCAGAGCATCCTCTCCAGAAAGAGCTGAAGGTAAGCACTTGCTATGTTACCTAGAATATGCTGACTTGAAAGGAGGGAAAGGCGCGGAAACTTGCTTTGATCTTCAAAGTAACACCGCGCTCAAATCCCTACTGCTTCTTTAGTATACATGCCACTTATGTTTTATCAGTTTAGTATTTATTATGTATTTGTTTCGTTATATCTTTTTATAGTGTCATAGCTCTGACTAAATGAAATGTTCTACATTCACAGGTTCTGATAAAAGTAGAGAGCCTTCTCCCATTGGAGTTGGCAGAGCAAGGAGCAGAGGTAATAAATCATCCTCATACCATTGTATATATTTTTTGTTAGTATATTCTCCTGGTAGATAGATTTTTTTTATATATATGAATGAATAATACATATTCCTATTATTTACAGGTGGTGCAGCAAGAGGCGGTTCCTGTGCAAAGAAAGGTAAATAAACTAATTTCTTCTCTTGCACATCATATGGCAATATAATATAGTATACTATATTATTAGTATGTTATTTTTTTATGTATATTGTTTTTGTACATTATTCATTTACACATGAATGAATGTACAACATTCATTCATTCATTCATTTTTGCATACAACTATTGTTTTGGTCCAAAAGCAGTCAGTCAATAATGTGGGAGGGTGGCCTTCATTGTATTTTATGTATTTATTATTGTAACAAATTCACTGTATAATATAGTAATTGTATTTATCCACTTTGCAGCCCGTGCATCACGCAGAGGCTCTGGGGAAGATGGCTGGCAGGAGGATGAGTGGGAGCCGAGCCAGTTGCCCTTTACTGGAGCACCTGGACCTCAGGGACCTGCTGCAGAGCTGGATTCATCTGATCCAGCTGACTTTCTGGAGCTCTTCCTGACGGAGGAACTGCTCCAACAGATCGTGGACCAGACGAACCTCTATGCCAGCCAGTATTTGGAGACTAACACTGAGCCTTTGCCCCACAGCAGGAGTAACAGGTGGAAAGAGCTCTCGGTCCCTGAACTCAAACGGTTCTTGGGGCTCAGTTTCATCACTGGGTTCATCAAAAAGCCAAGTATTGAGTCCTACTGGTCTGTGGATGAGCTTGAAGCTACTCCATATTTTGCTAAAGTAATGTCGAGGAACAGGTACCAGCTCATCTGGAGGTTCCTCCATTACAACAATAATAGGTCACATGATGTAAGTGACAAAATGTTCAAAGTCCACCCTGTTTTGGATTACCTGGTCACCAAATTCAAACAGCTGTACAATCCAGGGAAAAACATTTGTATAGATGAGGGAATGATGCTGTGGCGGGGGCGTCTGGCTTTTAGGGTCTACAACCCTCAAAAGCCAGTGAAATATGGCATCAAGTCCTACATTCTGTGTGACTCGGCCACAGGCTACTGCCACAACATGCTCCCTTATGTTGGGACAAGCGCCACACTGGAGGACACGGCCTTCTCTCTCCTGGGTTGTCTCCAAGGCCGAGGACACACACTTTTTATGGACAACTTTTATAACTCAGTTTCCCTCAGTGAACATTTACTGGGGAAGAAAACGAATGTGTGTGGAACACTGAGGAAAAATAGAGGTGAACCAAAAATTATAAAAGAGGTCACAAAAACTAAAGTTGGAGACAGGATTGTGAGACACAACGGGAAGGTGATGGTGGTGGCATGGCAGGATAAGAGGCTTGTGAAAATGGTGACGACTTGTCACCATAACACTATGGAGAAGGTGGAAGTGTGGCAGAAGGGGGAGAAGCAGAAGGTGCCTCAGTGGAAGCCAGCGTGTGTTGTGGAGTACAACAAGTGTATGAACGGAGTGGATAAGTTGGACCAAAACGTGGCCTACGACCCTTCATTAGACGGTCCACAAATTGGTCCAAAAAATTTGTGGCCTATCTATTCCAGCTGGCAATTTTTAATGCTTTTGTCCTCTATCGAGCCAGACACCCCAGAGGAGAGTGCAAACACCTCCTGCAGTTCTTGAAGAGTGTGGCAAGATCCTGGACGTCAAGGAGGCAGGAGGAGGGAGGAAGAGATGAGGAGAGTGCTGCTGCTGTGGGGGCTGTCTTGGGCACGCACAACCCCAGGGCTCCTTACTTGGTTGACCCAGAGAGCCGGCTGGATGGGCAACTGAGGAGGCACAAAATGGAGCACCTGATGGCCACTAGCAGGAAGGAGAGACCGAACAGAAAATGTGGGGTCTGTACACGGAGGGGTCTTCGCAGGGAGACCAACAAGTGGTGCGCGGCCATGTTCCACTGCACACAGGAGAGTGTTTCAACCTCTACCACACGAAGCAGAACTATTGGGAGTGAAAAAGCAGACACAAACGCAGACACAAACTCACTCACATGCACACACTCACACTCACTAACTCACATGCACACACACACGCACACACACACTCAAATTCACACGCTTCATTCTATTTTATTATTTATAGTTTTATTGATCTTTGTTGTTGTTGGATGTTTTGGTTGATGGTTTTGGTCTGAATAAATTGCCAACAATTTGCCATCAAAAGTATTATTTCAGAGTCATGTTTTCATAATTTTTGTAATGGAACAAGTGTGGAGATGTTTTGAGTTGTCACTAAAGCAGCAAAAATGCATCTAAAAGTCTCTTTTCTGCTTGATATGTTCCTGTTTACATACAGCTCGTTTTCTCTGTTTTCTTGCTCAGACCAGGTGTTGTGGGTGAAAGTATGCTTTGTTCTATGGCGAATAACTCAAGAACGGTAAGAGGTAGAAACAAACTGTTTTTTTCAGAGTAAAAGCACTTCAAAGTTGGGTCAAATCACCTGAAATTGCTGGCAGAACGCACTTCTCAAATCTGAAAATGCCTGGCAGTCAGTGAGTTAATGTGATGCCGGGTCCCCCCCACAGGCCCGGGGTGGTATTGCAGCATGTCAGCGCATGTCATTTTGGACATTTTTGACCCGGGACCCGCCCACACTGGTGCCACACAGCTGTCTGCTGTTGTGAAGTTAATGCTGGCAACGGGCCCCATAGTGGTATCGACCCGAAACTGGATACCAGTATCGGTGCATCCCTAATTTAATCCCCAAGATGTGAGAGTTGTATGTGCAGGCTTCAGAAGGGACTTTCACTTGTCAAGTTCACCAGCTGCTTTTACAGCTGACCACATGTGTAAATCACAACCTCCACATACCTCCATCACGTCTTTAATGAACGGGGTCCACCTCGACAGGCTGTAGGTTGTAGACCGGTCTCTTCTGGTAGGTTTACGGGAGAACAAACTTGCCTACAACAGCCACACAAAGGAATAGAGCAACTTATTTACCATGTTCTGATTTCATATGTGTGCAATGTTTGAGCTAAGAAGTCTTCACGCACCGTAGTGATGATGGAGACACCCAGCTCTTTCCAGTTTAGAATATATTCCCTTTGGTCTTCGATTTTCACATGCTGGATAAGTTTACTCAAGTTTTCTTCTGTCGTGCCTGCCAAAGTAACAGAGGTTTAAACAAGGCCTCACATCCACATAACCTGATCTATGGTGTACGAACTTAAAAAGAAAAAAACAAACATCTGCTTAACTATGTAGATCTTTTATGTGGTCTGTAAATACAATACACTTGGGAGCCACATACCTATGCGAATTTCTCTCTTTATTCTATGCCAATGTAACAGAACGAGTTTCCTCAAATTACATGAACACCATGGAGCAATAATTTTTCCAAGTGGAGGGACGCCCCCATTTGGAGAGTGCAGAATAACTGCACAAGCACAGCAAAAGGGGATGATGTCAGTGCTGAGCACAATGATCAACAGTGAAGTAGTGGTGTACAACCTTATCACATTTTTATTTGCTCCAAATAAACTCCCTTAAAAAAGGTAAACTGTGTAATTTTTACTGCAATCTAGTGTTGAGTTCTTATATTGCAGTCAAAGGTACTACGGAAGCCTTTGATAGAAAATGTGTCTTTGACAGTGCTCCTCAACTCTCAGTCACCAGACTACCAAGGAAATACTTCAGTTTGATAAATGACTGGATCTCTCCAAACGTGTCGGGCACTTGACAGTCGCGTGGAGGCGACACCTGCTGCACAGAGGCTCTACTGAAGTTTACCATGGATCTATTATAAAACATAGTTTTACAAACACTGTGTGAAGAGAAGGCATGCATGGAGAAATAACGTCTGCGGGAGGTTAAAACCACAATGATCAGGGAGGCCAAGACATATACATGGCTAAAAGCTCATGTTAGCATTAGCGTTAGCCACAGCGCCCTATCTGCATCACGGTACGAAACAGAACATTCACTCACGCTGCTGATGAAGTATTCTGTGATTGTTTTGTGGGAATTCTGTGTGTGTTTTATTTGAGGCTTTTTCCCTGAATAAGTTTAGTGTAAACTTGTGTCATAGTTGGACTGCGCTCGGATCGGGTCAGAACCTCCTGAGACTGTTGCAGGTTCTGCCTCGTTCTCATTATTGTCAGTGTGAAAAAGTTACGTATTGTTCAGGTGTGAGTCTGTTGTGTACAAACTACACAATGTGCCTCCTGTTGTGTTAACAGTCTTTGTGTGGTTTGTGTTGACACTTTATATAACTGTGGTCCTTCATGGTTCTTTTATATAACTGTGGTCCTCCATGGTTCTTTTATATAACTGTGGTCCTCCATGGTTCTTTTATATAACTGTGGTCCTTCATGGTTCTGTTATATAACTGTGGTCCTCCATGGTTCTTTTATATAACTGTGGTCCTTCATGGTTCTTTTATATAACTGTGGTCCTTCATGGTTCTTTTATATAACTGTGGTCCTCCATGGTTCTTTTATATAACTGTTGTCCTCCATGGTTCTTTTATATAACTGTAGTCCTTCATGGTTCTTTTATATAACTGTGGTCCTTCATGGTTCTTTTATATAACTGTGGTCCTTCATGGTTCATCCTTTTGGTCCTTATCCACCACTGTTTTCCAAGTTGGCGCATTGACACGGAGAGAACTCCTCTCTCACGGACATTTATAAGTTAAATTCTAAGCCTACAAAAACATGGTGGAGGTAAATATTCTTAAAAAGGTCACATTTGTTTTTAACATGTTTTTTCATTTGGAGCAGCTGTAATAATGACACAGGGTGGATTTAAAGAAAAACGTCTACACAGATTTTACACTTATTTAATGTAATGTTTCTCTCGTCTGTGCAGCGTCAGACCAGACTCCTCCTCTTTCTATCTCACTGCAGATGGATTATGTTTAGCATCTCAAAGGGGGTAGCACTGCCATTATTAGATTACATTTTAAATGGTTGCTTTGGTTCAATGATGAAATCATAAAAACATAAGATAAACCTTTATTTATTCCTCAGTGGGGACATTTCAATGTCATTATTGTAAACATTACAGCAGAACAAAAAGGGGAAAATCAGAGCACTCAGGTAGCACACAAAAAAGATCATTTAAGATAATAGATAAAGGTACAAAGGTACTCAGGGGCGTGACCGGACTGAAGGAAGATACACACCACTCGCCTGCTTTAAAACATTTTAACATTCAACATTGACAGTTCATATTAACTATATGTTTGTTAATGGGCCACAGGGATTGTAAATTATCCCATATAGGACAGGCTCAGGTTATGTCCCCTTTAAATAACAATAACAATAAATAACAATTGTCATGTTTGACTGTGATAATCGCTGCAGACAACTTTCCGTCTGTGGGTGACACGCGCTTACCGTACCGTTGACACTGAAGATGTAGAGCAGCACGGCCCGGATCTTATCAGGAATGCTGTAGGGGTGGAGCAGCACAGGAAGTAGAGTTCGCATTGGGTCCTTCACCTTGGCCCCCTCCACATCTGAACCCACGGCCAGGTCCTGGTCACAGACAACAAGTATTGTATCACTTGTTGGTGAAAAGTGGTGTAAAAAGGTTTTTGTGACCAACATGCTGGACTGACTCCAGGAAGAAGATATGAACTTGTTACAACTAATGGAAGAAGAGATGAACTTGTTACAACTAATGGAAGAAGAGATGAACTTGTTACAACTAATGGAAGAAGAGATGAACTTGTTACAACTAATGGAAGAAGAGATGAACTTGTTACAACTAATGGAAGAAGAGATGAACTTGTTACAACTAATGGAAGAAGAGATGAACTTGTTACAACTAATGGAGATCAAATAAATACAAATACAAAGAGAGGGATGTCTGAGACCAGGACCACCACAACATCAACACGGTGTGTTTGTGTGTGTTTGTGTGTTTGTATGTGTGTGTGTGTGTGTGTTTATGTGTGTGTGGTCAGCCAGGGCAGATTAAATTTCACATAATTCCAAGTCTAACAACTGTATGAAGTGGCAGCTGTATTTCTCCCGTCTTTCTACCCTCCTCATGTGGGTCTTGGGTCACTACATTGTACTGGAGTGATTCCTTCATGAGGAAAATTAAGGGAACATCCTTCGGCAATGCACCTGTTCAGCTTTGCACAGTTTTTCCACGTTGTTTGAGAAGTGTTTCATGCAGTCCTCAGCCAGCTGCAGATGGACCGTTTTCTACAAACAAGAACAAGTACAAACGTCACCGTACATTCAGCCTACATTTCTCCCATGTTATGTTGTTATGTTGGTAATGTCACATTGGTAAGACAAAAGAGCAAGGCATAGACAGTATCACTAAGCAACTTCTGACATAATATATAAAACAACTGGACCGTTATATTGAACATATCCAGTCACTCATCACGCCACACATGGACGTCGTCATACTTATATAAACAGTTAATATGTGAGTAAATACGTCACAATTTTGATCTTGGAAATTCAGAAGTTCTAACTTCCCACTCGGAAAAAAGTGAATGGACTAAAGATATTTCTGCAAAAGCGTTACAGAAATATAGAAAATAGAATATGTCCAGAAGCACGTTTAGTAAGAAACTATATATTTGTACACTTATACATTTTTGCATATGCATTTGCTGTTGCTACATTTTGAAGTCAGAAGATTACGTAGATATCTCGTAAACGTGGAGTTTGTGAAATCGCATGCAAGAAACATTTCAAATGTTTCTCGCAGCGGGCTTTCAGAATCAGAATCATAATTATTACTGCCATGTAAGCAACAGGAAGTCACAGACTAGGAAATTGCTTTGGCTCTCGGTGCAACAGTCAAGTAAGAAAGGTAAAGAATAGAGTGAGGCATAGTTAAAAAATATATCTGCATACACTTATTAAAAGTATTACTATATGCAATATACAGTGCACTTGGTGCGCACAATATGCAGTGAGCAGTGCAGTGCAGTAAGGGGACAGCGATAAAGTGGCGTTATGAAGGGCACTAAAGTGGCTTTATGAAGGGCACTAAAGTGGCTTTATGAAGGGCAGTAAAGTGGCTTTATGAAGGGCAGTAAAGTGGCTTCATGAAGGGCAGTAAAGTGGCTTAATGAAGGGCACTAAAGTGACGTTATGAAGGGCACTAAAGTGGCTTCATGAAGGGCAGTAAAGTGGCTTAATGAAGGGCACTAAAGTGACGTTATGAAGGGCACTAAAGTGGCTTTATGAAGGGCACTAAAGTGGCTTAATGAAGGGCAGTAAAGTGGCTTTATGAAGGGCAGTAAAGTGGCTTTATGAAGGGCAGTAAAGTGGCTTTATGAAGGGCAGTAAAGTGGCTTCATGAAGGGCAGTAAAGTGGCTTAATGAAGGGCAGTAAAGTGGCTTTATGAAGGGCACTAAAGTGGCTTTATGAAGGGCAGTAAAGTGGCTTCATGAAGGGCAGTAAAGTGGCTTCATGAAGGGCAGTAAAGTGGCTTAATGAAGGGCACTAAAGTGACGTTATGAAGGGCACTAAAGTGGCTTTATGAAGGGCACTAAAGTGGCTTTATGAAGGGCACTAAAGTGGCTTTATGAAGGGCAGTAAAGTGGCTTTATGAAGGGCAGTAAAGTGGCTTTATGAAGGGCAGTAAAGTGGCTTCATGAAGGGCAGTAAAGTGGCTTAATGAAGGGCAGTAAAGTGGCTTTATGAAGGGCAGTAAAGTGGCTTTATGAAGGGCAGTAAAGTGGCTTTATGAAGGGCACTAAAGTGGCTTTATGAAGGGCACTAAAGTGACGTTATGAAGGGCAGTAAAGTGGCTTTATGAAGGGCAGTAAAGTGGCTTTATGAAGGGCAGTAAAGTGGCTTTATAAAGGGCACTAAAGTGGCTTTATGAAGGGCACTAAAGTGGCTTTATGAAGGGCAGTTAAGTGGCTTTATGAAGGGCACTAAAGTGACGTTATGAAGGGCAGTAAAGTGACGTTATAAAGGGCAGTAAAGTGGCTTTATGAAGGGCAGTAAAGTGGCTTTATGAAGGGCAGTAAAGTGGCTTTATGAAGGGCACTAAAGTGACGTTATAAAGGGCACTAAAGTGACGTTATGAAGGGCAGTAAAGTGGCTTTATAAAGGGCACTAAAGTGGCTTTATGAAGGGCAGTAAAGTGGCTTTATGAAGGGCACTAAAGTGACGTTATAAAGGGCACTAAAGTGGCTTTATGAAGGGCAGTAAAGTGGCTTTATGAAGGGCACTAAAGTGACGTTATAAAGGGCACTAAAGTGGCTTTATGAAGGGCACTAAAGTGGCTTTATGAAGGGCACTAAAGTGACGTTATAAAGGGCACTAAAGTGGCTTTATGAAGGGCACTAAAGTGGCTTATAAAGGGCGGGGGACAGGTTATGAAGTGTTCATGAGTCTAAAAGCAGAGGAGAAGAAACTGTTCTTATGGCGGAAGGTTCTGGTTCGAATGGACCGTAGCCTTCTGCCTGAGGGGAGGGGTTGGAACAGTCCATGTGCCGAGTGAGAGGTGGGATATCACGGCAAGTTCATGCTTATTGGGAGAGCAGATATTAGGGTGCATAAAATATGCAAAAACATCTGATGAAAAACAATGTGCCTGCTTGAAAGACAGAAAACACTGTTTAATACTTTAGTTATGTACAAACACACTAACAAATACTTCTCACATAGAGCCACAATTCAGAAAACCACAACTAGAATGAGTAAGTCACCTGTGTGATTTGTTTACGAAAGGCCGGCATCTTCTTCATCATCTGAGACAAGTTACCGATTGTAATCTGAACAAAAAACACAAACATGTGACATAACGTATTCCTCATCTGTCGATCAGTTACATCCCACTCGTCTTCACCTTTGAATCCGGTTGTTTCTTGCTGGCAGATATTTCTTTCACCATCTTTGGGATTAGTCTTTTGAACAAAGCAGAGCAGACAGTCACCCCAAAGCGGTAAGTAATCTTTATCTATACGGCGCCTTTCACAGACCAGAATCTCAAAACGCTTTACAATTGTTGTGGAGATATATCCTCTCACTCCAAACATGGGAGAGAGATGAGCTTAATGACGACCCTGCCATACAGGAGGCCTGACCTATTGCACATGTTTTAGTGGTAGGGGAAACCGGAGCACCTGGATGAAACATGCCAACTCCACACAAATAACTGCGCCACAATGTCACTCTGAAGACTGGCCATACTAATGCTCTGGCCAAGATTTAAACTTTTTTCTCAAAAAATACTCAACATGCAAATAAGTAGGAGAGAGGAGGAGGATGTGGACTCACTCTGTGACCTCTGCGATGTGCTTGTGCCGCAGACTGGCCCACAGCATGTCGTCCTCGTTGAGAAGAGCCTGTTTCTCTGCTCCGTCTTTAGCCTTGTACCTAACAAATACATCATGTTAGCTCCATGCACTGTACCGCCGCATAATCCTCAATGCAGCAGATTCAAGACAGGAAAAGGGGCAAACAGAGTATCTCCCGGAGATCAGAGGAGTCAAATATAAATGACTCAAAACATCCATAACTTACAACAACATTAAGTTTGTATAGTCCCAAAAAAGTGCTGTTATACTTGTATGCATCTTCCTTGATGTCCACAAGGTCATAAGCCATGGCTTGGTAGGTGAGCTCATGGAGGATGGGGCTGACTGGATCAAAGCCTCGCTCCACAATCAGCAGCTGGGCCTGAGTTTTCCCCTGAGCAACAAACACATGCACGTCACCAACACCAGCATCTACATCCACTCTGCAGGATTCATACACATCGAGATGGCGATTTGAATTGAGCCGGGAAAGTCACAACTGAAGGGGCTCAGTTATAGAGCATTGGCCTTTGGGCCTTAAGGTTGTGGGTTCGAGCCCACCGTAAGACCTACTTCTCGACTCCCACTGATGACTGCTGTCTTTGTCCTTGGGCAAGACACTTAACCCCACTTTTCCCAAAGCCCCCACTGAAAGATCTCAGCTCCTGTGGACTCAGCACCTGCAGGAGGATCAGTGAGGGGCTGGTGCTCTGTGGACTGGGGGCTGCTCTGACTCCTCTCTCATGGACATTTATAAGTTCAATTCTAAGCCTATGAAAACAATTCAAAAACATGGTGGAGGTAAATATTCTTAAAAAGATCACATTTGTTTTTAGTTAACATGTTTTTTCATATGGAGCAGCTGTAATAATTACACAGGGTGGATTTAAGTCCATCTCATGGAAAATGGGAGCAAAAACATAAAAGTGTTGCGTTTATATTTTTGTTGTGTATATAAATATTTTCTTTTGTTTTAACCGTTCCCCTTTTTCCATAACATGATGTAAAGCAAACAACCATAAGTAGCATTTTCTCGCGCTGACATATTATATAAAAAACACAACAAATCAGGGCAAGGGACCCTACAAAGGCCTGTGGACACCCATGTCGGCCATGAATGGAGTTCCAGAATTATACTGGTCTGTGATGATGCTGAATGTCGATGCTTCTAACAATTCTAACGCTGGAATCTCTTTTCTTCCATATATGTGAGAGAAATCCAGTTGGAGCAAGTGTGTGTTTTAGAGGCACTAGTGGCAGCTGGTAAATAAAGACCCTGCTGGTTCCCATGGTAATGGATAACAAAGATCAACCAACCTGCAAACTTTCACCCTCACATTTTATCACTTTTGTCTCCTTTTTAAACATCCAGTGCAGAAGAAATAAACCCCCAAGGAATTGGCTCATTGGCTCACAAAAACTCCTTAAATTAAGATGCTTTGTGCTTAAAAAGTGGGATTTTAAGCACAAAAGTGGTGCCTAATAACCTGAGAATTACAGAATTATACTTTATCGTGAGTGCTCCTTGTAGTATTCCTCTTGTTCTATAATGTGTGGAACTCCCCTGGTTAACTGTCCAGGCTAGAAGTGCCCACACCTTTTTCTTGCCGTTGTCGTCCAGACCGTAGTGGTCAGCCAGTTTCTGGTCCACGAGTTCAGCAAGAGTCTGTGCATTCACCATGCTGCTGTCCCTGCGAGACAAGCACACTCCAGTAAATACTTGTTTTCAATTCTGTGTCAACGTTAATGTGTGTGTATGTGGAATATATATACATATATATACACACATATACATATACAGTATACATATACATATACATATACAGTGCCTTGCGAAAGTATTCGGCTCCCTTGAACCTTTCGCGACATTTCAGGCTTCAAAAAAAGATATAAAAATTAAATTTTTAAAATTAAATTAAGTTTTTTCAACAACAAGTGGGACACAATCATGAAGTGGAACGACATTTATTGGATAATTTAAACTTTTTAACAAATAAAAAACTGAAAAGTGGGGCGTGCAATATTATCGGCCCCCTTGCGCTAATACTTTGTAGCGCCACCTTTTGCTGCAATTACAGCTGCAAGTCGCTTGGGCTATGTCTCTATCAGTTTTGCACATCGAGAGACTGGAAATTTGTGAACCATTCCATTGTAGATTTGGCTTTATGTTTTGGATCATTGTCCTGTTGGAAGATAAATCTCTGTCCCAGTCTCAGGTCTTTTGCAGACTCCAACAGGTTTTCTTCCAGAATGGTCATGTATTTGGCTCCATCCATCTTCCCATCAATTTTAGCCATCTTCCCTGTCCCTGCTGAAGAAAAGCAGGCCCAAAGCATGATGCTGCCACCACCATGTTTGACAGTGGGGATGGTGTGTTCAGGGTGATGAGCTGTGTTGCTTTTACGCCAAACATATCGTTTTGCATTGTGGCCAAAAAGTTCAATTTTGGTTTCATCTGACCAGAGCACCTTCTTCCACATGTTTGGTGTGTCTCCCAGGTGGCTTGTGGCAAACTTTAAACAAGACTTTTTATGGATATCTTTGAGAAATGGCTTTCTTCTTGCCACTCTTCCATAAAGGCCAGATTTGTGCAGTGCACGACTGATTGTTGTCCTATGAACAGACTCTCCCACCTCAGCTGTAGTTATCTGCAGTTCATCCAGAGTGATCATGGGCCTCTTGGCTCGGACACGGACACAGACCAGACAGGTACATATCAACTAGTCTAAGGTAAGAACATGTGTCAGTATGTAAAAACGGTGGAATATTCCTTTAACATCTTGTTTTTGTGTTACCTCCCTTATGGTGCTTTCAGACCGCAAGTTACGCTCTAACGCTGAAGCCTCACTCACCAGACGGGCATTCTCTAGTTTTCAGACACAGGGGTCTTCACACCAGAACACTACAAGAGCCTGAATGAGAACTCAGGCTGGCATATGTTCACAACTACTGTGACCCCATTGTCAATCCTGGTTTAGTCCTGGTTTAGTCCTGTTTTAGGTCCTGTTTTGGCTGTATTTTGTATTTTTGAGTTATTTCAGTCTGCTCGCGTGACCACTTTGCGGCTCTCTGACCTGAGAGGGAGAGAGAGACGGGGAAAACAAACATGCTGCAAATGGCATTTATCGCGGCCAGAAATATTATCGAGCTAATTTTAATTATCATGCAATTAATTTATTCATTGAACATCGCAACAGATGACCTGTTGCAATATTCAATGAATAAATTAATCGCATAATAAGTTTGCACATGTAGAAAAGTATTATTACCAAGGTGACCAGTGGAACATACAGCAACGCCCAATATATAATTATTTAACACAAGTCATTATGATGCCATTGTTTTTAGTCCCAAGTCAGTTGTATAATTATATAACATCATGCATCAAAAGGCCGATTTGTGAAAATGGGCTTGTAGTAATGTGTTTGAATTACTACACGCCCAAATGCTCCGATTCCTTCCGTCCCCACGTAAAAAATTGCATTAGTAGATTTGTTTGCTTCAACGTTTAACTCAATGTTTGCCACACGCACAAACCCCAAGAAGCCCTTCATGCGGCCCTACGTACGCCCCAGCTACATAGAGTGACGCCTCAGAGGGTGTGCACAGTGTTCTTAGCCCGTTCCTTATGGCCCAGTAGAACTTAAGTTAGTCTTCTTTCATTTAGATTTGGAATAGTCTACTTCTAGAAAGACTTCCAGGGTGTGCTCCTAAATAGAGTAGAAAGTAAATTACTGTTGGTGGTAACAATATTCAGCTTTGGTAATCGAGCCTCAGAGACACATCACGCGATGAATGAATGTTTGCTGAAAGCGTTTGGGGGATGAATAGTTCTGTAAGTTGAGAAAGATCCCATTGTTACTCTTACTTCTTGTATCGGACCCCGGGGTACTCATCCAGCGTGTCACACAGGGTAACAAGCTGATTGGCCAGTGTTTCCAGTGTCCTCTTTCGGTCCTGGCTGTGTGGGCTGTAGATGCTCTGGAAGGCCCTGGGGTTGTCACATGTGAACACCTGCAAACGAGCACAAACAAGATTGTTTCACCCAATGCTTAAAAGCCCAAATGGTAGTCCGCTCCATTAGCTTACCACACGGACAAACATACATCCTGCAAATACATACCATTACTGTATTTAATATTTATATACAAAATAGTCCTATGTATAACACGCAGAGAAAGACGGTGTGAGCAGAGTCCTCCCACACGCACACAATCATCATAGCTCAACTGGCACATCCAGCATCCTGGGTCTTCTGAACATCACAGAAAGCCTCTGAAAAGACCTCAGCCAGCTCCACATGAACTGGAGGAAGAGTGGCTTTGCTCTAAGCTCTTGACTGAGCGCCTCAGGAGGAGTTTACGGCAATCCGAAAACACCTCAACTCTTTGGAAGTCTATGATGAATTGAACTGAAAATATCAAAATGACGATGTAAGCTAAACTATTTATGTTGCACACATAACCCTTAGAGTCGAACAAGCCGCAAATAGTGCACATAAATAACAAAAGGCAAAAAAGAGGCAATTCTCTTGAATACTACAAAAATACAAAGGGATTATGGATACACATTAGCCACTATATAAACTTGAAAAATATCCCAAGGACAGAGGCCTGAGGAAACAATAGCCGTGTCCACTCTGATAGCTTGAAGTCAGTTGATAGTCATGGTCATAGCTAGCACATAGAATGCACTACAAAAATATTCCAAAAGGGCCAAGATTTTTGCCAAAAACAGCCGTACACTGTGTGCCCCGCCTTGTCCTTTGGGAAATGCAGTTGAATTGGAGGTAAACCGTGCCAGTGTGAATTTCAAAGATCAGAGTAAAACCTGTTGAAGAATTTTGGCTTGCACAACAACAGTTTTCTCAGGGGAAAACATTTAGAAAAACTAAAATTTGTGGCTAACTTCCAAGAGACAGAGTCTAGACGCAACTCGATCAAACTCAATTCTCATGATGAAACTATAGCCAAAGAAAAGCCTTGTCAGTAACTTGGGTAAAATGCAATGGCACTCAAGACATACTTCTTTGAATGAGAGTATGTATACTTACAGATTAGGCCATATTTTTATATAGTTTTTATACTTATACTTATGTTATGGCATTCAAAACTATAAAACATTAAATTAAATCCAGAACCTCAACCAATCCACTTAGCAGTATAATTGAGAGTTTGTGGGTGCATGCTGTATTTAAGATGAGAGATAAGAGTTCCTTTATTTGTCCCACAGTGGGGAAATGTCGATGTTGCAGCGCACAGACAGGACAGTAGTAAGAGACACAGGGAGCACACACAATATATACTAAATAAGTAGTAGCTATGTTTCTTAACTAACATAACTGGCTGTAGATGCTGACAATGCTTCAATATATTAAATATAAACTAAATAAATATTAAAACAATATTTTCTTTAACATTCAGAGAAATGATTGGCTGAGTGAGGGTGGGCCTAAATCTAATGATTTGGCAGTCCAAAAACACACAGGGAAAAAGTTATTGAACAGTTGAGAGCAATGATAACGATTTATTTCAGTAATTTTTCTAAATAAAGTTGTACAGTTTAATTCTACTGAGATTATATCACCGTTATTGTGACATTTCCTCATTATATCATGTTCTTTGGCCATATAGCCCAGTAGTACTGAAAATTAAAGAGTGACGGTTGTAACAAAGGCAAAGGCAGAGCGGAAGAGAGGGTTTCTGCAGAGAAGGACTCACTTGCGCTTCCTGAGGCAGGAAGGAGATGTGGATTTCTTTACACACGCGGATGTACTTTCCACATGAGAGCTTCATGTTGTTGAAGAGCTCATCGGGACAGTCTAGGGCAAAGTGACACAACTCAGAATAAGTATAACCAGGTACACTGGTTTTATACTGGCCAGAGCACAGAGGACGCACGGTCCAAACAAGCAAGTAAAGCGTAAATCCACAGGAGGAATGCTAATCTTTTACTTTTTTATGCTAATAAAGAATTCAGAATTTCACTATGAAGCAGGACAGAGAAAATGCTCTGATCCAAGAGCACTCTCCATACATCACCAGTGGCTTTTCCTGTCCTGCTCCACCCTGCTCCACCCTGCTGCTGTTTCAGCTGTGGTCTGTCCTGCTCCACCCAGAGGCTACTCCACCTCTGCTGCTGTGATCTGTCATGCTCCGCCCAGTGACTACTCCACCTCTGCTGCTGTGACCTAAAATGCTATATAACTAACAATTATGAATGTGTTTGATTGTATGGATGGGTGTGTTTTTGCTGCTTGACACCTACATTACTCCGATGGGGATCAATAAACTATATCTATCTAGGGTTTTTCTTGTTGGGACAGAACCCTGGAGAATAATAGTCATTATACAACATTCAAGTCTCAGTTTGTGACAAAAAGTTCTAAAAAATTTAAAGAAAAGAAATACACAAGGAGTTATACTTACAATCAGTAAAATAAACATAGGCCGATTTGTATTTGGGTTTGGGCTTGAAATCTTGAATGAAAGCATCTACACACTGTAAGAAACCACATCAGTAAACATGACAACTAAAAAACAATCATTCCCAGATTTACAGAAGCAAACCTTCGCTGTTGGAGTCATGAAGTAAATGGCCTTCATTTCTAAAACCGGCTCTCGGATTTTGTACAAATCCTCCACAACTAGAAAAACACAAAATAATGTCAAATAGCAAAGAAGATAAAAGGTAATGTAAGAACGCCGTCAGTCTTATAGATGTTACTTGTGATTTTCTCTGCCATCAGATCGGACATTTTGCAGCATGACGACAGAAGCTTGGTGGTGAATGGGTCCAGGATTAAGATCTGAGAAGAAAAATGCGACTTATGATGCCATATTGTTGAATTTGATTTTGTTGTGAAGATTTTTGTATGTATTGGATTTGTCATAAACAGCAGAAGCAAATACCTTCCATACTTCTGACTTTCTGCAGTCTTCTATAATTGTTTCTTTTATTCCTGAGAAATAAAAAAAGACCATAAATGACACGCGTCACAGTCACAGCATCAGGATGAGTTCAAGTCTAGAAAATTGACTATATTTCACAAGTTAGCAAACACCAAAAAACAGTAACTGAATCTTAAAATATTGTCTATTTGGAAAAAGTGAAAGATTAACAAAGCAGCACCGCCATTACAAACAATTACATAAACTTGTTATGTTTAATTGCAGTAACTATTTAACACCCCTTCTCCTAATGAGATGCAACATACAAACTTTTGGCAAGAGTTGATCAAAATAAAATTACACGGTTAGTTTTTGGAAACATTAATTTGTCACAAAATTGCATAATATTGATTAAATACAAATGACAAAAACAGATTAAACTCAAAGCTTATTTCGCCTCTCTGTAATCATTTTAAACATATATTTTTTTAAACATGTGTTGTGGTGAGTTGACTTGCTATAATATGCTGATACTTATGCAGTATCCTTGAAACACAGCTGTTGTCACCCAGCTCAGTGATGTGTGTTTGTCCACTGCATAACAAAATAAATGTCTCTTGAATTCCTAAGAAAGGACATGACCACATTTCTGTCCCATCACTGAGAAAACAATGCATTATGTTCCGAAAGAAATACTTTAGCCTTTATAGTAAATAAAAACACACATAAGATGGTCCCGCTTGTTGTGACAAACTGTTGATGTATTTAAAACAGTATTATTACAGTACTATTTTAAAACAGCACAAACTTGGGAGAACCCTTCGGTCACAGCAGGTTTAGCTCAGAGTTCTGCGGAGTTTGGACCGAGCCTGATGAGTGTCCACAGGTAAGTCTCATGTTAAACCACCTCATGTTAAACTTGTGCCTTAAAACCTACTTCTCCAGACACTTCTCTTCAGTCCGTGCTCCAGACCCGACGCCATCTTGTTTACACCCGAGTCTCTTCCGGTGTAGTGTCGCGGTCTGCTGACGTAACGTGACGTTACAAGACTGCGACGATATGTGTAGTTTTTGGTTTTTACCACAATTTATGTTTTTTACCTGTAGATCCATGGTTTTTACATGGATCTATGAGCCGTGGGGCCAGCCTCTTGCACCGGTCACTCGCTCCTCTCAGTGTGTTCTGTTTAGCAGGCGCAGGGACGTGTAGGCGCATTTAATCAATCATAACTTGCTTAAGTTATTTTCACACATATTTTTTTACTGCAAACGTCACACATGTAGCTATGATACAGGACACATGGTTTGGCCTATATTGATATTTATAGTGGGTTTAACAGTAAAAGAATCTTCTGATATATGATATATGTATGATAGGTATTTAATGTAGTGTATATACACTACTCACAAAAAGTAAGGCACATATGACTTTCAGGAGACATTTATGGAAAATATACACTATGTATGATAGAACCCTGTATATACACTACAAGATAAGAGATCCTTTATACGTCCCAGAGTGGGGAAATTTCAATGTTGCAGCGCACATACAGGACAGTAGTAAGAGCAGACTACTGTAAATGCTTCAATACCAGTCTTTCAAATGTATATACAGTGAATATATGTGTGTGTAGTGCAGAGTTACATACTGTACAGTATAGTGCAGGATAATAAGTAGATAAAGTAAAGTTACATTGTTCAGTGGATATTCTGAAGTTGCAGTATTGCACATTGCACATGATTTTAGTATTTACTTATTTACAGATGAATGAAATGTACAGGCTCAGCAGTTCTCATTGTACAGTCTGACAGCAGCAGGAAGGAAAGACCTACAGAACCTCTCCTTCACACAGCGAGGGTGAATTAGTCTGTCACTGAAGCTGCTCTCCAGAGCAGAGAGAGTGTCCTGCAGGGGGCGACAGTCATGGTCCAGCATAGATGTTAGCTTAGTTTAGATGAGTTTTTATATGATAGAACCCTGTATGTACACACTATATATGATAGAACATGTATGTACACACTATATATGATAGAACCATGTATATACACACTATATATGATAGAACCCTGTATATACACACTATATATGATAGAACCCTGTATATACACACTATATATGATAGAACCCTGTATGTACACACTATATATGATAGAACCATATATATACACACTATATATGATAGAACCCTGTATATACACACTATATATGATAGAACCCTGTATATACACACTATATATGATAGAACCCTGTATATACACACTATATATGATAGAACCCTGTATATACACACTATATATGATAGAACCATGTATATACACACTATATATGATAGAACCCTGTATGTACACACTATATATGATAGAACCCTGTATGTACACACTATATATGATAGAACATGTATGTACACACTATATATGATAGAACCCTGTATGTACACACTATATATGATAGAACATGTATGTACACACTATATATGATAGAACCCTGTATATACACACTATATATGATAGAACCATGTATATACACACTATATATGATAGAACATGTATGTACACACTATATATGATAGAACATGTATGTACACACTATATATGATAGAACCATGTATATACACACTATATATGATAGAACATGTATGTACACACTATATATGATAGAACCCTGTATATACACACTATATATGATAGAACATGTATGTACACACTATATATGATAGAACCCTGTATATACACACTATATATGATATAACCCTGTATATACACACTATATATGATATAACCCTGTATATACACACTATATATGATAGAACATGTATGTACACACTATATATGATAGAACCATGTATATACACACTATATATGATAGAACATGTATGTACACACTATATATGATAGAACCCTGTATATACACACTATATATGATAGAACATGTATGTACACACTATATATGATAGAACCCTGTATATACACACTATATATGATAGAACCCTGTATATACACACTATATATGATATAACCCTGTATATACACACTATATATGATAGAACATGTATATACACACTATATATGATAGAACATGTATGTACACACTATATATGATAGAACCATGTATATACACACTATATATGATAGAACCCTGTATGTACACACTATATATGATAGAACCCTGTATATACACACTATATATGATAGAACATGTATGTACACACTATATATGATAGAACCCTGTATATACACACTATATATGATATAACCCTGTATGTACACACTATATATGATATAACCCTGTATATACACACTATATATGATAGAACCATGTATATACACACTATATATGATAGAACCATGTATGTACACACTATATATGATAGAACCCTGTATATACACACTATATATGATAGAACCCTGTATATACACACTATATATGATAGAACCCTGTATATACACACTATATATGATAGAACATGTATGTACACACTATATATGATATAACCCTGTATGTACACACTATATATGATATAACCCTGTATATACACACTATATATGATAGAACCATGTATATACACACTATATATGATAGAACATGTATGTACACACTATATATGATAGAACCATGTATATACACACTATATATGATAGAACCATGTATATACACACTATATATGATAGAACCCTGTATATACACACTATATATGATAGAACCCTGTATATACACACTATATATGATAGAACATGTATGTACACACTATATATGATAGAACCCTGTATATACACACTATATATGATAGAACCCTGTATATACACACTATATATGATAGAACCCTGTATATACACACTATATATGATAGAACCATGTATGTACACACTATATATGATAGAACATGTATGTACACACTATATATGATGGAACCCTGTATATACACACTATATATGATAGAACATGTATGTACACATTATATATGATGGAACCCTGTATATACACACTATATATGATAGAACCCTGTATATACACACTATATATGATAGAACCCTGTATATACACACTATATATGATAGAACCATGTATATACACACTATATATGATATAACCCTGTATATACACACTATATATGATAGAACCATGTATATACACACTATATATGATAGAACCCTGTATGTACACACTATATATGATAGAACCCTGTATATACACACTATATATGATAGAACCCTGTATATACACACTATATATGATAGAACCCTGTATATACACACTATATATGATAGAACCGTGTACACTCACCTGCCTCTTTATTAGGTACATTACTTCCACTTTAATGCAAATTCCTATTCAGCCAATCACATGGCAGCAACTCAATGCATTGAAGCATGTAGACATGTTCGCACTTAGCATCAGAATGGGGGAAGAAAGATGATTTAAGTGACTTTGAACATGGCATGGTTGTTGGTGCCAGACGGGCTGGTCTGAGTATTTCAGAAACTTCTGATCTGAGATTTTCACACACAACCATCTCTAGGGTTTACAGAGAAGGGTCTGAAAAAAAGAAGTGATTGGCAGTTTGGTGGGTGAAAATGCCTTGTTGATGCCAGAGGTCAGAGGAGAATGACCAGACTGGTTCGAGCTGATAGAAAGACCACAGTAACTCAAATAACCACTTGTTACACCAAAGGTCTGTAAGAGCCTCTCTGAACACAGAACACCTCAGACCCTGAGGCAGATGGGCTTCAGCAGCAGAAGACCACACCGGGGGCCACTCCTGTCAGCTAAAAACAGGAAACTGAGGCTACAATTCGCACAGAATCACCGAAAACGGACAATAGAAGATTGGAAAAAGTTGGCTGGTCTGATGAGTCTCCATTCCGCTTCGACATTCGTATGGTAGGGTCAGAATTTAGAGTCAGCAACATGAAAGCATGGCTCCATCCTGCCTTGTAACGGTTCAGCTGGTGGTGGGGGTGGAATGGTGAGGGGGGTATTTTCTTGGCCCTCTTTGAGTCCCTTTGGACCCATTGAGCACCGTTGCCACAGCCCTCCTGAGTATTGTTGCTGACCATCTGTGGAGTGAGAGACAAATGCCCAAAAAAATAACAATTGTGAACCACTTTGAGACTCTGAATAAAGATTACTACTCCAAATCCCACATATTTGTCAGTACAAAACATTGAAAATTACATGATTTGATTATAAAGTATTGAGATTTTATTTACTCTTATTCCGTTTCTCATAGTTGAGTTATAACTATGATGAAAATTACAGGCATCTGGCTGACTAGTAAGTAAGTAAGTAATCTTTATTTATATACCGGATTTCACAGACTAGAGTCAGAAAGCAGTTTACAATTGTTATTATTTTTGGGCACTTGTCTCTCACTCCACACAGAGATGGGAGCGGGGTCGCCGAACAGGAGGTTAGATAGACTACATACTATTCTGCCCCACTGTATAACTGTCCAAGAGATAATCTCCAGCCTTAGTTCATCGACATGCCTTCTAGAAGTCTTGCCTTGGTTTCTAAAATCAGTTCCGAGCAGTTTGTCACTCACACAGATAGTCAATACGTTTTTTTCAATCTGGAACAGTCCCAAAAGACCCAAAAACTGTGGTCATCGTGCCTCTTCTAAAGGAGAAATGGTTGTCCACCAACACCTTACCAAATTTCTTCTAACTAACACATCATTTGACATATTCGATCCCACCGCAGCAGTGAGGCTTCTCTCATGAAGGTAAACAAGCAACATTTCACTGAACACTGACACAGGGAAAGTCTCAGTCAGGCTCTCCTGGCCACCCTGAAAAACCCATGTTCCAGCTTCTTCCCTCAGGCAGAAGATATTGTTTGTGAGGTGCAGGACATCTTGTTTGGCTAAAAGCTTCTATCCGTTATCAGTTTAAACAGAGCACTGTAGATCTTGCACTTGTAGTGAAACTGTTTTAGTTGATCGATTGAAACCTCCGAATCAGGTCAGATATATAGGGGTAATAATAGACTCAGGTAAGCAGATGTAAGTGTTATTATAACTTTAAGTTCAAACTGGGAATCAGTAGAACTAAAGTATATTCATTCTGACCCAAGCCCAACATTTAGATTCACAGAGTTTCAATGTCTGTGCGATACTGGGTCAAACACCTCCTCAAAGGCATGAATATTATACACATTTCCATTTGAAATGCAACACTAAAGAGTGCACATAACTGGAAGCAAAACACAGCTTGACAATAAGAACTGAGAGCATATGAAATGGAAAAACCCTTCTCTCCCACCTGCCCCAGGATGGAGTCTGAGGTGACTCAAGCAAGCAGTGTTTTCTTTTCACGATACACCTGCCTCTCGCTTTGGTGCAGTCTGATTGGACAAGCGTCTAGGTGAGGGCGGGATAGGAAAGACATATTCTTACACCAAAAAAAGAGACATTCAGTCAGAAATCAGCAGGGACAAAGCTTTGAAGATATTACTGTATGAGCCACACAAAAGGATAATGGGTCTGAAGTGGGTCTTGCTTTTGCTTGTATTACAAGTCTCCTTACAGGTAATATCTCACAAAATGCATGCAGACATAAATATTGTTATATGGAAATTAATGGTTTTTATTTATTATTTCTTGCAGAGTTCACATGCAGGTATGCTACATTTCCTTTCCTCCTCTTTATTGTAGCACATTCAATAACAAGTACACACAGCTTGTACTATTATACTTTTACTTTTACTGAGCAGTGGGCACTTGTTTGGTACTTGATCAACCAAGTGAACCAGAAGTGGTACAATTAATGAGAATTCTGGTTCGCTTAGGACTAACTGTATCAGTATTATTTTTAATTTGTCTGAAAGTAATTGTGACTGAGGACTTTTCAAAGAAACGAGCTATTACTACTACTACTATTACAACTATCACTCTGTTTATTAATCGTGGTCTTTAGTTCAGGCTTGACAAAAGTTGAAGGAAATGTATAAATTGTGAGAAATGTTTGAAAAGGTTTGACCGCTGACCTCCTTGTTGACCAATGAAAAGAGCAGATCGTTATCAGAGCTGACGATGACTCCCATGTTTAAACTCCTATGCCATTCTCACACATGCTTTTATTGTGAATTATTACTACCATTTTAAGTAACAGGAAGTCACAAACTAGGAATTTGCTTCAGCATATGGTGCAACAAATTATACAAATCTTCATACAATTCTAAAAGATATTTAACAGTGCTAATTATTATTTGATATTGATAAGTGCCCAGAGGTTGGACAAAAGTGTAAAGTGACGATTGTAGAAGGCCGGGATCCAGTGATACGTCATGAAGTGTTTATGAGTTCAACAAGGGAAGAAAGTGTCCTGGTCTGGTTGGACTGTAGTCTTCTGCCTGGGGGAGGGGTTTGAATAGTCCGAGTGCAGGGTGAGGGGGGTGGGCTGGACTGTAGTCTTCTGCCTGGGGGAGGGGTTTGAATAGTCCGAGTGCAGGGTGAGAGGGGTGGGCTGGACTGTAGTCTTCTGCCTGGGGGAGGGGTTTGCATAGTCCGAGTGCAGTGTGAGAGGGGTGGGTTGGACTGTAGTCTTCTGCCTGGGGGAGGGGTTTGAATAGTCCGAGTGCAGGGTGAGGGGGTGGGTTGGACTGTAGTCTTCTGCCTGGGGGAGGGGTTTGAATAGTCCGAGTGCAGGGTGAGGGGGTGGGTTGGACTGTAGTCTTCTGCCTGGGGGAGGGGTTTGAATAGTCCGAGTGCAGGGTGAGAGGGGTGGGTTGGACTGTAGTCTTCTGCCTGGGGGAGGGGTTTGAATAGTCCGAGTGCAGGGTGAGAGGGGTGGGTTGGACTGTAGTCTTCTGCCTGGGGGAGGGGTTTGAATAGCCCGAGTGCAGGGTGAGGGGGGTGGGCTGGACTGTAGTCTTCTGCCTGGGGGAGGGGTTTGAATAGTCCGAGTGCAGGGTGAGAGGGGTGGGTTGGACTGTAGTCTTCTGCCTGGGGGAGGGGTTTGAATAGTCCGAGTGCAGGGTGAGGGGGGTGGGTTGGACTGTAGTCTTCTGCCTGGGGGAGGGGTTTGAATAGCCCGAGTGCAGGGTGAGGGGGGTGGGCTGGACTGTAGTCTTCTGCCTGGGGGAGGGGTTTGAATAGTCCGAGTGCAGGGTGAGGGGGTGGGCTGGACTGTAGTCTTCTGCCTGGGGGAGGGGTTTGAATAGTCCGAGTGCAGGGTGAGGGGGTGGGCTGGACTGTAGTCTTCTGCCTGGGGGAGGGGTTTGAATAGCCCAAGTGCAGGGTGAGGGGGTGGGTTGGACTGTAGCCTTCTGCCTGGGGGAGGGGTTTGAATAGCCCGAGTGCAGGGTGAGGGGGGTGGGCTGGACTGTAGTCTTCTTCCTGGGGGAGGGGTTTGAATAGTCCAAGTGCAGGGTGAGGGGGGTGGGTTGGACTGTAGTCTTCTTCCTGGGGGAGGGGTTTGAATAGTCCAAGTGCAGGGTGAGGGGGGTGGGTTGGACTGTAGTCTTCTTCCTGGGGGAGGGGTTTGAATAGCCCGAGTGCAGGGTGAGGGGGTGGGCTGGACTGTAGTCTTCTTCCTGGGGGAGGGGTTTGAATAGCCCGAGTGCAGGGTGAGGGGGTGGGCTGGACTGTAGTCTTCTGCCTGGGGGAGGGGTTTGAATAGCCCGAGTTCAGGGTGAGAGGGGTGGGCTGGACTGTAGTCTTCTGCCTGGGGGAGGGGTTTGAATAGTCCGAGTGCAGGGTGAGAGGGGTGGGTTGGACTGTAGTCTTCTGCCTGGGGGAGGGGTTTGAATAGTCCGAGTGCAGGGTGAGGGGGTGGGCTGGACTGTAGTCTTCTGCCTGGGGGAGGGGTTTGAATAGTTCGAGTGCAGGGTGAGGGGGTGGGCTGGACTGTAGTCTTCTGCCTGGGGGAGGGGTTTGAATAGTCCGAGTGCAGGGTGAGGGGGTGGGCTGGACTGTAGTCTTCTGCCTGGGGGAGGGGTTTGAATAGTTCGAGTGCAGGGTGAGAGGGGTGGGTTGGACTGTAGTCTTCTTCCTGGGGGAGGGGTTTGAATAGTTCGAGTGCAGGGTGAGGGGGTGGGCTGGACTGTAGTCTTCTGCCTGGGGGAGGGGTTTGAATAGTTCGAGTGCAGGGTGAGAGGGGTGGGTTGGACTGTAGTCTTCTGCCTGGGGGAGGGGTTTGAATAGTCCGAGTGCAGGGTGAGGGGGTGGGCTGGACTGTAGTCTTCTGCCTGGGGGAGGGGTTTGAATAGTTCGAGTGCAGGGTGAGAGGGGTGGGTTGGACTGTAGTCTTCTTCCTGGGGGAGGGGTTTGAATAGTTCGAGTGCAGGGTGAGGGGGTGGGCTGGACTGTAGTCTTCTGCCTGGGGGAGGGGTTTGAATAGTTCGAGTGCAGGGTGAGAGGGGTGGGTTGGACTGTAGTCTTCTGCCTGGGGGAGGGGTTTGAATAGTCCGAGTGCAGGGTGAGGGGGGTGGGCTCTTGAAGGTTCAGCTCCAGGTTGTTACCATTGCACCAGGACCAGCCGTCCCACTTCCCTCCAGTAAACAAACCCATCGTCGTTAGAGATGAGCCCAACGAGGGTGTCATGCACAAACTTAATCAGCTTTCTAGAGTCAAGGTCAAGTTTATTCATATAGCACATTTTAAAAACAGACAGGACTGTCACAAAGTGCTCTCCAGACATTATAAAATAAAACACACAAATAACACACAGGACACGATCATGAATGTTTCAATATCACTCGTGTTAAAAAGCCAAAGCAAAGAAATGTGTCTTTAGCTGCGATTTAAAACTCTCCACAGAGGGTTAGCTCTCTACAGAGGGTTAGCTCTCCACAGAGGGTTAGCTCTCTACAGAGGGTTAGCTCTCTACAGAGGGTTAGCTCTCTACAGAGGGTTAGCTCTCTACAGAGGGTTAGCTCTCCACAGAGGGTTAGCTCTCTACAGAGGGTTAGCTCTCCACAGAGGGTTAGCTCTCTACAGAGGGTTAGCTCTCCACAGAGGGTTAGCTCTCCACAGAGGGGGCAGCTCTGATACAGTAAGGGAGAGCGTTCCAGAGTTTGGGCCCTGCCACAGCAAAGGCTTGGTCTCCTCTGGTCTTTGGTCTAGACCTGGGTCTGGTCTCCTCTGGTCTTTAGTCTAGACCTGGGACAGTGCAGAAGAATTTTGTCAGAGGACCTCGGTGCTCTTCCCGGAGTGTGCAAAGTAAGCAAATCCGTGAGATATGACGGAGCCAGGTCGTGCAGAGATTTAAATACTAACAATACAATTTTAAACTTAATTCTAAAAGCAACAGGAGCCAATGTAGAGACGACAGCACAGGAGTGATGTGCTCGTCTGGTGCCAGTCAGCATCTGTACCAGCTGCAGTCTGTACCAGCTGCAGTCTGTACCAGCTGCAGTCTGTACCTGCTGCAGTCTGTACCAGCTGCAGTCAGTACCAGCTGCAGTCTGTACCAGCTGCAGTCTGTACCAGCTGCAGTCAGTACCAGCTGCAGTCTGTACCAGCTGCAGTCTGTACCAGCTGCAGTCTGTACCAGCTGCAGTCTGTACCAGCTGCAGTCTGTACCTGCTGCAGTCTGTACCAGCTGCAGTCTGTACCTGCTGCAGTCTGTACCTGCTGCAGTCTGTACCTGCTGCAGTCTGTACCAGCTGCAGTCTGTACCAGCTGCAGTCTGTACCAGCTGCAGTCTGTACCTGCTGCAGTCTGTACCAGCTGCAGTCTGTACCAGCTGCAGTCTGTACCAGCTGCAGTCTGTACCAGCTGCAGTCTGTACCAGCTGCAGTCTGTACCAGCTGCAGTCTGTGGACTGAGGACTGGTCCAGGCCATAGTACAGAGAGTTACAATAGTCCAGCCGTGTGGATATGAGGGCGTGGACAACCTTCTCAAGGTCATTTGGTGGGAAATAGCGTTTAACTTTGGTCAATAGTCTCAGCAGGAAAAAGCTGGCTTTGACAACAGAACTTATTTGTTTGTCCATTTTAAAAGCACCATCAAAATACACACCAAGATTTTTTGCAAATGGGCTTCAGAAAGAAGAGAGGCTACGCACACCATTGAAAACAGAAAGGTCAGCTTCACCAAACAAAACAATTTCTGTTTTCTTGTCATTCAAGTTTAAAAAATTGATTGAGTGCTTCGACTGAATCAGAATTAACATTCAAAGGCAAATAGATTTGAACATCATCAGCAAAGCAGTGAAACGAAATGTTATGTTTTTTGAATATCGAGCCTAAGGGCAACATGTACAGTGAAAATAAAACTGGTCCTAGAACGGAACCCTGCGGTACGCCACTGTCAGAGTCATGGCTGGAGGTGCAGGCGTTGGTGTACACTACAGGGAGAAGAGCATGGGAGAAAGAACACAGCCCTGAGGATCTCCTGTGTTTGTAATCCAAGTATACAAGATATTCTCCCCAGAGAGGCACACACTGCTTCTAGTCCCTCAGAGCTGGGACTGTCATGGAGCAGGAATAGTAGGACGGTGTTGAAGATAGAGCTAAGGTCCACATACAGGACCCTGGCACACAGTATGTTCCCAGGCAGTCCAAGTGCTGCATGATGAAGTGGAGGGTCGGTTCTGTAGGTGAACTTCAGGAGGTAGAGGAGGATGGAGGTAAAGGTGACAGTAGTCTTTCTCCAAATATTATGCTTTAAAATACACTGATACTGATGAACAGATCGCAAGCATTAGATTTTTATTTATTTCATATAAGATTGGATTCAGTTTGTGTTGATTGTGCCTGGTTAAATGCTTCTGCCTCTGTAACATCTTTAGATTTTTCAGACAGAAAATACAAAAAGAGAGAACCACCTTCACTCAGCCAATAAGCAATCAGCCCAATGAGTCAAATAGTGATTCACAAAGACTTTTTCCGAGCAAAAGATAATATGTTTTCTAGTAGGAGGAAAATAGCATGTTGTTGTATGATTAGTTCACAACATTTCTCTTTGACAAGACTTTTTAGTCTTTAGACAAGTATTGTTTATGGGGGAAAATAAGGACCCAGCCTTAACAGTTTATTGTTGAAACTATATCTGTTTGTACTAAATAAGATAAGAGAGCCTTCCTTGGTCCCACAGTGGCAGAAGCTTGTCGCAGGTCTTTCACAATCTTAATAGCTAGAAAATGAATTCCTCAAAAAGCCATATAAATGCACCCCCGTCATACAATACAATACAATACAATACAATACGATGTATTCTTGTATAGCCCTAGGTCACAACAGAAGTCATCTCAGAGACTTAACAAAACCATTGAAATCACCAACACAGGTCAGAGAATCAACAGTTAAAACACATGAAGAATATAAAGCACACACAGAAGAAAATGTCCATACATGTTGTAGAATGCTAAAGTGTCCTGATCATCACCAATCCTTTCTGTTGAACACTAACTGTCCAACAAGACCCTCCTGCATCCACAAGGAACAACTCTTAAAAAACCCAGTGGGAAAAAGTGAGAAACCTTGGGGAGAACTAGGGAAACCCACAGGGAGGGAGACCCATTTGAGAAAGGGATCCGCTCCTCCGGACGGTCATATTTTGTGTGTGTTTCAAAAGTTGATTACTTGAATACTAAATGAGGAACAGTGAAATTGTTTGTGTTTTTCACTGGAGAGAGACTTCACTGACCAAATCCTTGTTTTGTCTCCAGCTCTGAACATAGGTGTGTACAGTGCCTCAACCAAACACTTCGTGTTCAAATGGGACAAAGTGAATGGAGCCATGTCCTATGAGATCACAATCACAAACATTGCAAACCAGCGCGTGGGCTTCGCTGTCTTCGGGGCCAATACAGTCATGGGCTCGGTTAGTTCGGGACTGGCTGCGAACACCAACTACACCTACTCCATTGAGGCCAAGAACGCCACCGGGGCTGTGCTGGAGAGCGCCAGCGGTCAGCACCTCACAGGTCAGGCTCACTCTACAGTAATTCTGTCGACAGGAAGACATTTCACAGGGCTTTATAAAACAAGAGTATGTACAATGTACTAGTTAAAAACAGTAGCTCTAGTCGAGCTTGGCATAACAAATAATGTCCTCTCAGTTTATGCTATATATATATATATATATATATATATATATATATAATATCCACTCGGATGAGACAAGACCAATGGATCCATTTAGGAGCACAGGGAAAAGCCATGCTTATATTAGAAACAGTAATTCATAATAATAATGATAATGATAATAATAAGAATCGGCGACTCAGTCCGCACACACTAAATCTGGCTCTTGGGACGTGGAACGTCACTTCACTGGGGTACACCAACCTGAGCTCCTGAGTTGAGCAATACCAACTAGAGATAGTCAGCCTCACCTCCACACACAGCTTGGGCTCTGAACCACTTTTCTGGTGTTTCCCGCGGGGAGAGGCGGCGAGCGGGGGTGGCCATACTCATTGCCCCCCATCTCAGCCGCCACGTGTTGGAGTTCTCCCCGGTGAATGAGAGGGTCGCGTCCCTCCGCCTCCGGGTGGGGGACAAGTCTCTCACTGTTGTTGTGCCTACGGGCCTAACAGCAGTGCAGAGTACCCGGCCTTCTTGGAGTCCTTGGGAGGGGTACTGGACAGTGCACCAACCGGGGACTTCAAAGCCTATGTGGGAAATTCAAGTGACACATGGAGAGGGGTGATTGGGAAGAGCGGCCCTGATCTGAACCCGAGCGGTGTTCAGTTGTTGGATTTCTGTGCCAGTCACAGTTTGTCCATCACCAACACCATGTTCGAGCACAAGGGTGTCCACCAGGGGGCGCCAGGACCTGAGGCCAGAGGTTGATGATTGACTTTGCTGTCGTATCATCTGACGTTCGGCCACGTGTGTCTTGAACGCTCGGGTGAAGATAAGGGCGGAGTTAAAGAGAGGGGCGGAGCTGTCAACCAATCACCATCTGGTCGTGAGTTGGGTGGAGTCTGAGTGGACCATGTTCTCTTCCTCTTTTACTAATGCTGCAGCTTGTAGCTGTGGTCGCAGGGTCTCGGTTGGTCCCGGTAGTGGACACCGATAGTAAGGGATGCCGTCAGGCTGAAGAAGGAGTCCTATCGAGCCGTTCGTGGGTCTCCTGAGGCAGCTGTCCAGTACCGGCAGACCAAGCGTGCCGCGGCCCGGGCTGTTGCAGAGGCAAAAACCCAGGACTGGGAGGAGTTCGGAGAGTCCATGGAGCATGACTATCGGTCAGCCTCAAAGATATTCTGGCAAACTGTCCGGCGCCTTAGGAGGGGGAAGCATTTCTTTGCCAACACCATGTACGGTGCGGGTGGAGAGCTGCTGATCTCGACTGGGGATATTGTCAGGTGGTGGAAGGAATACGTCGAGGTTCTCCTCAATCCCCCCGTCACGTCCTCCGTCCCGGAGGCAGAGGCTGAGGATGTTGGGGCGGATACTTCCATCTCCCTTGCTGAGGTCACCAAGGTGGTTGGCAGCCTCCTTGGTGGCAAGGCTCCGGGAGTGGATGAGTTCCAAGTATAATGGGATCCCACTCCTCAGCCTCCCTGGTAAGGTCTACTCCAAGGTACTAAAGAGGAGGCTACGACCGATGGTCGAATCTCGGATTCAGGAGGAGCAGTGTGGTTTTGGTCCCGGTCGTGGAACACTGGGCCAGCTCTATACTCTCCATCGGATACTCGAGGGTTCATGGGAGTTCGCCCAACCTGTCCACATGTGCTTTGTGGATTTGGAGAAGGCGTTCGACCGCGTTCCCCAGGGTGTCCATTGGGGGGTTCTCTGGGAGTACGGGGTCTGGGGTCCTCTGCTTAGAGCCATCCGGTCCCTGTATGACCGGAGCCGCATTGACGGCAGTAAGTCGTTGTTGGCCTCACACCGCTCTTGTCTCAGTATACATGCAGGCTCACACCACGCAAACTATACCCGTTTCAGCATACATGCAGGAAGACCATTCTTTTTGACTGTTTAGAAAGTAAATTAAGTACTGATGCAGATTATGTGGATAAACTACGAAGGACATATGATGGAAAATAGCTGATCAGGATGAGCATCTTCCATTCCTGAGTGTCCAGGTAATTTTTGACTTTTTTCTGCAGCACCTGAGCGGATGGATCCAATCGTATCAGTGACAGCCGTCGACAGCACCACCTTACAAGTGGAGTTTGTGCTAAAAACAGGAGCAAGCAAATACATTGTCCGTGCTCTGGACACCCAGGAGCCCTTAACCTTCTTCAAAGAGATAGAGGTGACGTCCAGCCCCGCCCTTTTCCCGTCTCTGCAGCCCTACACCCAATACAAACTGAGCGTCATGGCGGCCAACTCCGGAGGCCGCAGCCAGCCCACAGAGTCAGTCATCGCCAAGACGTGTATGTATCATTAATCAGTTACTGTGATGGTAACCAAAGTGTATCACTATGAAATCCATGCACATGTACTGAAGCAGTGTCTCTCAGGTGTTGGGGGTCCCACAAATATAGATGAAGCAAAGAAAATACCTTAGACAAAGAATACACATTTTATACAATCAGAAACAGCATGCAAAGACATTGGAAATGAATAATCCTCTGCCCGTCAATAATGCTTTGTATAACATAAGGTTGTCTTGTATTTTTCTCCTTCCACCTTCCCATCAACTCTGTAAGGGGCAGAGCACAGAACAATATGGAAGGACTGAATACAGAAGTACTTTTACATACACAATGTCCTTCATACACAATGATGAGCCATAAGTGAGATACTCCAAAGCCTATACACTGGCAAGAAGTGGAACACTTCCTTTGAGCCTGCTGCATGTAGAGTTACTGTATATGTTTTTTGGTTCATTTGGATCAGTTTCCCCCAGAGATTGGGGTGGGGGGGTCTTAAGGGGGTCATCCCTTTGTGCATGTCCCTCATGGCTTGGCTTGGGTTACTGTGGCTGCTGAGAGGTATTGAGGGTGGGCTCTGCACTTGTGTAAACCTGGATTATTAGAACAGTCCGGCATCGTCTTTAAAACAATGGGCTGATATCATGTTACTTCTGTGGGAGCCCTAGTATAATGATAAAGGCTCACGCACAGTTAACCCCAAGGAACCATTTTCCCTGGTTACCGTCAATTGGTCACTGTTTTACTTACACGTTTCAATGCAAAGAAAGTGAAATATACCACTGTATAGTTCAGTTTTGGGCTGCATCTAAAAAACATTTTTGTTATTTCCAGTGTACTTTGACACATTTTGCAAATGTTTCTATAAGCTGTAAACTCAATATTGAAAGTTTATGAAATATAACTATTTAAATACCATTTTAATAATAGTATTATAATAATAATAATAATGCATCGGTTTTATATAGCGCTTTTCTGGACACTCAAAGACGCTTCACATGTGTCATTATTCATTCACTCCAAACACGGTGGTGATAAACTACTACTGTAGCCACAGCTGCCCTGGGGCACACACTGACACTCACCTATTATAAGAAGATACAAATGTATCAGTTTAATCTGAACAAAATCATGACAAATATTGCTCCATAATTTGGCATTTTTGCTGTAGCTACATGATGAAGTATTAATATATTGATTGAACTTGAACATGAAGAGTTCTTAAGATTTGGTGATTAGACTCGGGTAAAATACTTGCATTTATGCATTAGGGAATTTAGATGCAGCCGCAAAGTTATGCTCATGTGAGTAGTATAGGTTTTTTAATACATGTATTAGTCTCGTCCACATTTTGAGTGACGTTGTGTATTATGATTGAGTATTAAGATTAATTTGCATGTGATATGTTAAATATTGTTTTACCTGATTCTAAAGCCTAGCGTACATCGGACTGGCAACTGATTATATCCGTCGCCTCTGAGTTGCTGCCCCGCACACATCGACAATCTGGCGAAAACGGGCAACTCTGAGTCGCAGGCCAGTCTCTTGAATAACAGCGCGTACATCGACAGCAACTGGCCTCAACTACAGTGTGTTTTCTGACATAAACTGTTGCGGGCGCGCTATACACGCAATACACACACGTTGTCGGAGCGGCGCATGGAGCGCGCACATCGGAGCAACTGAGGACAACTAGTTGCCGAAAAGTAGAACACGGGCAACTGACTGGAACTGGAGACCGACTGATCATCTCCAGTTGCAAGAGCGCGCACATCGACCGATTTCGGCAACTGATCATCTCCCACCATCTCCTCTCAGTTGCCAAAAGCCGCCTTGCAACTAGTTGTCCCCAGTTTCTCTGTCGATGTACGCTAGGCTTAAAGGAGCTATGTGGAGTTTGCAACTTTTGTGCTTGCGAAGCCCCCTCTGGCCAGACGTGTAACTGCAGCCTCAATGAGAGGCGCGTGCACGAGGATCAGAACAGGAACAGCTGATTTAGTCCTGTCCTCGACAATTTACAGATTTGCGGGGATGACTTCAACAGAGGTAAGTAATGTTATTGTTTTGTATGATATTTAGACCAAATCAATGTGTATATTTTCCAAGATGTGGTACTTCAGCAAATGTAAAGCAAAGTGAATCGCCAAAAGTCTCAAGCCAAATGATAAAATACAAAAAAGAACGACGTTTGAAAGAGGAACAAATTCCACAGGTAGAAATGCTTCTATGAAAAGCCAAAATAATCTTTTTATTAGGCCCAAAATACAGCATAATTACCACTGTTACCGTTTTGTAGGTACAGTATAGCGCAATTACTGTTATTACTGACACTATAGTCTTTTACTAACACTACACAAGTTTTCTGTGGGAATAAAACTATAAGATCAACTGTTCTGGTAAATTCTACATATTTTTTCATGGCTCACATCGATGAAGTTTGTACAAAACATACATTCCAGAACAGTTACATCTAAATCTTTTTGCTTTTCCTTCCAGGACTCCAGTCCAGTAGAATTTGTAGTTTCTGAGGAGCAGCAAGAGGAGGAAGAGGAGCAGCAAGAAGAGGAGGAAGAGGAGCAGCAAGAAGAGGAGGAAGAGGAGCAGCAAGAAGAGGAGGAAGAGGAGCAGCAAGAGGAGGAAGAGGAGCAGCAAGAAGAGGAGGAAGAGGAGCAGCAAGAAGAGGAGGAGGAAGAGGAGCAGCAAGAAGAGGAGGAAGAGGAGCAGCAAGAAGAGGAAGAGGAGCAGCAAGAAGATGAGGAAGAGGAGCAGCAAGAAGAGGAGGAAGAGGAGCAGCAAGAAGAGGAGGAAGAGGAGCAGCCAGAGGAGGAAGAGGAGCAGCAAGAAGAGGAGGAAGAGGAGCAGCAAGAAGAGGAGGAAGAGGAGCAGCCAGAGGAGAGTCTAGAATGAGAAGAGCAGGACCTGTGGGTTATAAAGACGCCCCTTTATTCGTCCCACTGTGGGGAAATTTAAAACTAAAATGCAACTCATCACCACTTTAGAAATGAGTCTTATTTTTATTTCAATGTTTGGGATAAAATGTGTATTTGTTTATTTGAAATAACATAAATAAATGTGCTATTGCAGCGAGGAGTGTACGAGCTTCATGAACGCCATAAGTAAACCCAAAGCTCTACCCTGCATTTAAAAGGATGTGGTTTTGGAAAGATTTGAGCTTTGAAGTTGTCCTACAAGAATTTACAGCCTTTGTGAAATAAGTGATACCATGTCACCGCACAAAGACTGGGGATGTTAATCCTCTCCTTCTTGGCTAAACAACGAGACCTTTGCTGAAGCTGTAGGTGACTTCAAAAGTCCACAGCGACTAAACTAGACTGGTCCAGAACACTCAGCATTGACACACATGTGGAACGGAGCTTTGGGCCAAGAGACACTGGACCATCCTGTAAAGACGTTTTCCAGAGGTAAGAAGATGCTATATGTTAGCATTGGCTCATTCTTCTTCTGGGTCCACCCCCACAGGCCCGGGGTGGTATTGCAGAATGTCAGTGCACTTTATTTTGGCCACTTTTGAGCCGGGACCCGCCCCCACTGCTATAGACGGGTACAGCTAGCGCTGCTACAGCTTAGCGTGAGTGCGCACGACGTCACGTGTTCGACCCGAACACCCAAATTTCAAGCATAAAGTTTACATGCATATAGAGGCAGTTGCAGTGAAAATGCCAGGGCTCATACTACGCACCAGGGCATTGCTGGAGAATGTATGCAGAAGACATTTTATTTTTGAAGTGTTGAAACGTTCACATAGCCGCCTTAAAGCTTATTTTCTCAACCATATAATTTATTAATATTTGAGCAAGAAATTAGATATGGTAAATAAAAAAATGATTGACCTATCAGTCAGTTACAAGCCTTCACCTTTGGTCCTAAGTAACTTGAACTCAATTTGTTTAGAAAAAATACCCAAAAGTAGATAAATAGTAATTATTATAATAATGATAATTATTATAATAATGATAATTATTATAATGATGAAATGATAATAAAAATAAAATACTTTTGTCAGGAAACCTTTGTACTGTATAAAAAAAAAATCCTAACTTCTAAAAAAAACTCTTACTCTTCGAGTTCAACAACAATGATACAACTCAACAAAATACAAACCTGTTTTTGTCTGCAGCAAAAACATACTACATGTATGATAGTTTAGTTTATTTTGATTAGATTAACTTCATAACACTTCATTTGGATATCTGTCAGCATCTGTATTGACCTATCATTATCAGCCCTGAATAAAATCAGGAAAAATAAATCAGTCAACCCTTAATTATCACATCTGCAGGACCTCCTCCCTTAAAGTTCAAGTTTCTCAGGTTTTTTGTGAGTGATGAAAGGATGCTATAGCTGCAGTCAAAGCTCCTGTTCTCACCTCTGGGTCATTACCCAAAGGAGGAGCTCAGTCAAACAAAATCAGCTCGGAGTAGAGGCACTGTTCCTTCACGCCGAGGGGAGTCTGCTGAGCTAGCTGAGGTGAGCATCCAGAACTGTGAGAGGGATGATTTGTTTTTGTTTTTATCATTGTAACCATAGTAACAGGTTGTAGCCATGTTCTCTAACTGAGAATACTTATGCAAATATATTAGAAGATATGAGAATTATGACACTTTTTCTCACATTGTTAGAGGTTGTAAGAAGTAATTTATTGTCAAATAAATAAGTTAGATAGGAAAGGAAGTACCAGCACAACAAAAGACACTGTAGTAGTATACAAAGCCTGCTTCCTCCTGATGTACACATACAATCTCCCAGAATTCCTGGGAGCTAAAGGGAATTACAATACAAGCTTTCTACAATATGTTTGAGCGACATGTGATTTACCATTTTTTTTACTTAGAAAACATTCTAATGTGATGACATTATTGAGCCCCTCTGGGGACATCTCAAATGTGCAGTCTAGGAATTTACAGGAACTGGAGACTTTTTGCTAAGAAGAATGGGCCCCTAACCCTACCACTCCAAACTATATATATATAAATTAGGGCCAGGATTTTAACGCGTTAATTACGATTAATTAACTACAGAAAAATTAGCGCGTTAAAAAAATTGACGCATTAATCGCGGAACGTTTCTCACTGGAGTAGTTTCAGACGGACCGATTATACTGGAGCACTAACTAACGTGGATGGCAACCATAGCAACATGAACAAGGAGGCTGTTTTGACTGCATTGGATGGCCCATTGGATGGCCCATTGGATGGCCCATTGGCTGGCCCATTGGATGGCCCATTGGATGGCCCATTGGCTGGCCCATTGGATGGCCCATTGGATGGCCCATTGGCTGGCCCATTGGATGGCCCATTGGATGGCCCATTGGCTGGCCCATTGGATGGCCCATTGGCTGGCCCATTGGATGGCCCATTGGATGGCCCATTGGATGGCCCATTGGATGTGACATTTTATTTCAAGCAAAGAAGGGATGGCAGCGCTGATAAGAGTGTTGTTGTGTGCACGATGTGCTTCAAAGAGTTTGTATATCACCGCAGCACCTCCAGCCTCAGCTATCACCTCACTGCTAAACACACAGCAGCTAGCCTGGATGTTAGCCTGATTCCAGGTACAACCCACTGGTTTTAGGACGGGGGTAACTAAGTCCACGTCTGAGAGAATGACCACCGCCCTGGCTCAGTGGGTTGCCCTTGCCCTGGCTCAGTGGGTTGCCCTGGCTCAGTGGGTTGCCCTGGCTCAGTGGGTTGCCCCTGGCTCAGTGGGTTGCCCCTGGCTCAGTGGGTTGCCCCTGGCTCAGTGGGTTGCCCCTGGCTCAGTGGGTTGCCCTTGCCCTGGCTCAGTGGGTTGCCCCTGGCTCAGTGGGTTGCCCCTGGCTCAGTGGGTTGCCCTTGCCCTGGCTCAGTGGGTTGCCCTTGCCCTGGCTCAGTGGGTTTCCCCTGGCTCAGTGGGTTGCCCTTGCCCTGGCTCAGTGGATTGCCCTGGCTCAGTGGATTGCCCTGGCTCAGTGGATTGACCTGGCTCAGTGGGTTGCCCTGGCTCAGTGGGTTGCCCTGGCTCAGTGGATTGCCCTGGCTCAGTGGATTGACCTGGCTCAGTGGGTTGCCCTGGCTCAGTGGATTGACCTGGCTCAGTGGGTTGCCCTGGCTCAGTGGATTGACCTGGCTCAGTGGGTTGCCCTGGCTCAGTGGATTGACCTGGCTCAGTGGGTTGCCCCTGGCTCAGTGGGTTGCCCCTGGCTCAGTGGGTTGCCCTTGCCCTGGCTCAGTGGGTTGCCCCTGGCTCAGTGGGTTGCCCTTGCCCTGGCTCAGTGGGTTTCCCCTGGCTCAGTGGGTTGCCCTTGCCCTGGCTCAGTGGGTTGCCCCTGGCTCAGTGGGTTGCCCTTGCCCTGGCTCAGTGGGTTGCCCCTGGCTCAGTGGGTTGCCCTTGCCCTGGCTCAGTGGGTTTCCCCTGGCTCAGTGGGTTGCCCTTGCCCTGGCTCAGTGGGTTGCCCTGGCTCAGTGGGTTGACCTGGCTCAGTGGGTTGCCCTGGCTCAGTGGGTTGCCCTTGCCCTGGCTCAGTGGGTTGCCCTTGCCCTGGCTCAGTGGGTTGCCCTGGACTGCAGAGCACTGGGGGTGGTAGAAGATCAGGGCCTGCAGAAGGTTCTGCAGATTGCGTCCTCTGACCCAACATACGAGCTGCCATGCAGAAAGACAGTGACAAAAAGAGTCCAGCAGCTTTATGACGATGAAAAGAAAGAAAAGGAGGATTTCTTGTTGGAGAAAGCCAAGTGTGTTGCCCTGACTGGGGAGCATTGGACCTCATTAAGCAACTCACATTATCTCGGTGTGACGACACACTTTATTGACATGAAGTGGCATCTTCACGCATTTGCCTTTACCATGCAGAAGACCATCTCTAGGCTCTTTGCTGAAAACGTGGCAGAAGATTTTGAGTCTGTGGCAGAGGCCTGGGAAATCAGACAAAAAGTCACCACGATCGGAACAGACGGTGCCCGAACCATGAGACAGCTCACATTCCAGCACATTCCGTGTGTTGCTCACGTGTTGCAGAGGACCCTCACAGTTGGCCTGGCTTACAGCGGGTTCACAGACACATTGGAAAAATGTCGTAAAATAGTGGGGCATTTTAAACATAGCCCCTCAAACACAGACGAACTGCACAAGGAGCAAGCACGACTAGAACAAGACAAAGAGCCACTGATACAGGATGTTTCCACAAAGTGGAATGTATATATATATATTTAAAAAAAAAAATTCCACTCACCTTTGGCCCTCCGTGGGCGGTTATCTCTCTCTAAGCTCGGGTCCTCTACCAGAGGCCTGGGAGCTTGAGGGTTCTGTGCAGTATCTTTGCTGTTCCTAGCACTGCACATTTCTGGACCGAGATGTCCGAGGTTGTTCCAGGGATCCGCTGTAACCTCTTCTAGCTTCGGGGTCACTGCCCCGAGTGCACCGATCACCACGGGCACTACTGTGACCTTTACCCTCCAGGCCCTCTCACTACTGTGACCTTTACCCTCCAGGCCCTCTCACTACTGTGACCTTTACCCTCCAGGCCCTCTCACTACTGTGACCTTTACCCTCCAGGCCCTCTCACTACTGTGACCTTTACCCTCCAGGCCCTCTCACTACTGTGACCTTTACCCTCCAGGCCCTCTCACTACTGTGACCTTTACCCTCCAGGCCCTCTCACTACTGTCACCTTTACCCTCCAGGCCCTCTCACTACTGTGACCTTTACCCTCCAGGCCCTCTCACTACTGTGACCTTTACCCTCCAGGCCCTCTAACTACTGTGACCTTTACCCTCCAGGCCCTCTAACTACTGTGACCTTTACCCTCCAGGCCCTCTCCAGCTCCTCTCTGAGACCTTGGTATTTCTCAATCTTTTCATGTTCCTTTTTCCGGATGTTACCATCGCTTGGAATTGCCACGTCCACCACCACGGCTGTCCTCTGCCCTTTGTCCACCACCACGGCTGTCCTCTGCCCTTTGTCCACCACCACGGCTGTCCTCTGCCCTTTGTCCACCACCACGGCTGTCCTCTGCCCTTTGTCCACCACCACGGCTGTCCTCTTCCCTTTGTCCACCACCACGGCTGTCCTCTGCCCTTTGTCCACCACCACGACTGTCCTCTGCCCTTTGTCCACCACCACGGCTGTCCTCTGCCCTTTGTCCACCACCACGGCTGTCCTCTTCCCTTTGTCCACCACCACGGCTGTCCTCTGCCCTTTGTCCACCACCACGGCTGTCCTCTGCCCTTTGTCCACCACCACGACTGTCCTCTGCCCTTTGTCCACCACCACGGCTGTCCTCTGCCCTTTGTCCACCACCACGGCTGTCCTCTGCCCTTTGTCCACCACCACGGCTGTCCTCTGCCCTTTGTCCACCACCACGGCTGTCCTCTGCCCTTTGTCCACCACCACGGCTGTCCTCTGCCCTTTGTCCACCACCACGGCTGTCTTCTGCCCTTTGTCTACCACCACGGCTGTCCTCTGCCCTTTGTCCACCACCACGGCTGTCCTCTGCCCTTTGTCCACCACCACGATGTCAGGTTGCTTCATTACCATTCGGTCGGTCTGTATCTGGAAGTCCCACAGGATCTTTGCACGCTCATTCTCCACCACCTTTGGAGGAGTTTCCCACTTAGACCTTGGGGTTTCCAGCCCATACTCTGCACAGATGTTTCTGTACACTATGCCAGCCACTTGGTTATGGCGTTCCATGTAGGCCTTCCCTGCCAGCATCTTGCACCCTGCAGTTATGTGTTGGATCGTCTCAGGTGCCTCTTTGCACAACCGACACCTTGGGTCTTGTCTGGTGTGGTATATCTGGGCCTCTATCGCTCTGGTGCTCAGGGCCTGTTCCTGTGCAGCCATGATGAGTGCCTCTGTGCTGTCCTGTAGGCCAGCCCTTTCTAGCCATTGGTAGGACTTCTTGAGATCAGCCACTTCTGTTATGCTCCGGTGGTACATGCCGTGTAGGGGCTTGTTCTCCCATGATGGGCTCTCCTCCAGCACCTCCTCATGTAGGGGCTTGTTCTCCCATGATGGGCTCTCCTCCAGCACCTCCTCATGTAGGGGCTTGTTCTCCCATGATGGGCTCTCCTCCAGCACCTCCTCATGTAGGGGCTTGTTCTCCCATGATGGGCTCTCCTCCAGCACCTCCTCATCTCGCCACTGCCTGAGACATTCACTGAGTACGTCTGGCCGTTTTGGCCTTCTCCATGATGTAGTTATGGAGTTTGGATGTTTCGTCCTGGACAGTGGCTCTCACACTCACTAGTCCTCGGCCTCCTTCTTTACGGCTTACGTACAGTCTCAGGGTGCTGGATTTGGGATGGAACCCGCCATGCATGGTAAGGAGCTTTGAGTTTTAAACATATTGTATGTATATATATATTGTGTATATATATAAATATATATATATATATATATATATATATATATATATATATATATATATATATATATATCATTTATTTATATATATATATATATGTACTGGACATTTCAGACAGCTCGGTCCAGAAATGTGCAGTGCTAGGAACAGCAAAGATACTGCGCAGAACCCTCAAGCTCCCAGGCCTCTGGTAGAGGACCCGAGCTTAGAGAGGGATAATACAAACAAGCATCTTTTCCAAAATCTGGCAATGTTTTTTTTTTTTTACCTGGGTATGTACACCTCAACACAACACCCAGAAGTACAGCCAAGGATTTCTGAAACAATGATAAGCCTGTTTATTTTTGCCAAAACAAAGGTTCTAATGCTCTTTTCTTTGCTGCAGTGCTGTCCTCAGTGAACATTCAGAGCTCCTCCCCCACTAACTCCAGCATCGACCTGACCTGGGCCTCTGTGGACTTCGCTATTTTCTACACTGTGTCTGTGCTCAAATATGAAGCCAATGAGACCAAAAGGATCACCATGAACACCATGGGGACTAACTGCACCTTCTCCGACCTGGACCCTGGGGTGCTGTACCACATCAGGGCCTTCGCCTGGGATGCAGAGGGGCGCATGGGCGAGTTCGGGGAGGCCAACCAGACCACCAGTGAGTATGGGTTGGTTTAAGGTGCACTGCAATGTTGTCCTCTGCAGTTGACCCACTGTGGACTCTGGCATGAGCAGTGGTTGCTGTAGTGCAGGCCCAGGGCCCCATCTCCAGATGGTGAAGCTCAGCTTGGTCAGGACTTGGTAAGAGCTGGATGATTTTAACTATTGTATGTGTTTTTATTTTTATTTATTTATTATTCTTATAAAAAAAAAAAAAAAATCTTGTACACAAAGAAACAGGTAACCCCCACCCAACCCAGGTAAACTCCTACATTCACTCATTCACACCAGCATTCTCAAAACTAATCTGTAACGTATTAAAATTAACTGTTCTGTTAGTATAGTCATCGCTGTCATCCTCTTAACCCTTTAAGGATCACCTAATTTTGCCTGCTCCTTCTCGAATTATGATACCCAAATGTAAATGATTATTGTGTGGACATCTTGTGTCTGATTTTGTGTTATGAGGCCTCATTTGAAAGGTAACACCTTCTAGTTTCTGAAAATGTATGTTACAGTTTGTTAGGAAGGACACAGTCTGCACTACACCTTCTCAAACATGAGTCAAAGTTAGTTTTTTTTGTCAAAAAAAAAGAAGGCAATTTCAAAAGGTTCTCCTGAAGACATACTTTATGGTATGTTGTTCAAACTCACCAGAGCAGATGTTTGTGGTGTTGGCAACAAGTGTAGGAAATTTTAGACCTTTAGGTGGAACTATTTTGATGCTGGGGGCTTTTTTGTAACTAATGGGCACATTCGGCACAAGTGGTCCATTTTTGTGCCAACTGTGCCAAAGTGTTTTACATGCAAATTATCAATGTTTTTACATCAAAAATCCATTTATATAATTTTTTGGCTATTATTCTTGCTATAAATAGGATTTTTTCCAGTTATTGAAAGGTTTGCAGAAAAGCTATTATTTATATAGTTATAGCGCGTGTTCTCCGTGAAAGAGGCTCCGTCTTCCTCTTTACGCATTCAAATATGACGGGAACAGTGGGAGGAAGTTAGAAGTCCGACACATCGCCTGAAACCTGAGATTATTGGCTACAAGATGATTTGATTGACATCCAAATCGGCCAATGGTAGTCAAGACAATGCTGTCATGACGCACAGATATCTATGTGAATGGAGCGCTAAATCTAGGTGCGCTTGTTTTACTCAACTTACTCTACCTTCCAAACCATAGCACTGAAAAGTCCGGGAATGGGCTTGTTTTGAAGGGAAGACTGAGAGGAAGACGAACATACCCAGTGACGCTAGCTAAACAGTAAAATGTCCTCTTCATACAGTGCGCAAAGAACAGGTTTTGTTTTTGTTTGTGCAACTTTCAATACTCAAATATGTTGTTGCAAGTGGATATCTACTATAAGGATGACTTTGAAGAAAAAACAACTGGATATAATTATTCTCTAGACCCTAACGAACAAAACGAATGCACACGTGTGGATTAGACGTGATTTGCCCCAGAATATTAGCATGAAAAGGTAAGAAAGGACAATATATATTTTAAATATATATACAGTTTGACACTTATTCTTACTTTTGGTTATATTTAATGTTTATTTGAACATAATACGTGTATAGGGGTGGGAATAAGCTTTCAAAAGAGATATAGCTTGACTATATTGACACAAGTGAATTCTAATACTGATGCTGTTAAATGAAAAATAACTGAATCCTCCCTGTACAGGGAGGGTGATCCTTAAAAGGTTTTAATATTCCAAAGTTTAGCATTTACCAAAAAGAAAATAAATGAATAAACAGCAACCAATCACACAATTAAAATCCACAAAAATAAAAACTAGGAACCAAAGGTAAAAAACAATAATATTGTACATGTGTTTAGTGGTAGGGGACTCTAGGGGAAACACCCAGTGTCTGATATATACTTTTGCCACCTCTGCAATATCAAAGTATACAATACCCTCCTTGTTTGTGCCAGGACCTTCCACGCCGGCCGCTGTGACCGTGACCATGGTGAACGCATCGCTGGCACTAAACGTGTCGTGGAGTCTGGATCCGGATGTGTACGGTGATGTCCTGTACAACGCCAGCAGTAACCTAGGGCCTTGGTGCAGCAGTGAGGGCTCCTCCTGTGAGCTGACTCCTGTGTCCTGTGCCCAGACACACTCTGTGGAGGTGACCGCCTACAACGAGGCCGGGCCCAGTGTCCCCTCCAGCCCCATCAGCTTCACTACCAGTAAGTACGCACCATAGGAACCAACGGCGTGTGTCAGCTTTATAATAGGCCTGCCATGTTATGTTGAAACTGAAACGGAGATGTAAATGTTGAACTGGCAACACAAGTAGGTTCTAGGTTTTAACCCTTTAATGGTTTCCTCAACCATTTGGTGGATCTACTTGAAGCTTGAAACTGAAATGTACCTCATTGGGGCATGTCGATCACTTTTACGATCAAACTTCATCTTAACTAATTGGAAAGGCCTAGTAACAATAATAATAAAAAATAAAAAACATAAAAAACAAATTCTTTATGTTATTAATGCTCCAAAATTTCAGAAAATCAAAAACTAAACATTGAAATTGCTTCCTTCAAGGCAAGACACATTAAAGGGTTAAAGGCTACGTTTAGGGAGTAACCAAGTCAATCCATCTCCATTTCCTTCTCTGTAATCTTTGTCTAGGTCAGGGGTGGTAGTAATAGCTTCTGACTATTGCTATAGTCAGAAATACAAAATTACCAAAGACAAAACCTCATGTTATTGTGAAGCGGGACCTTAAACACTTTAATGACCAAGCCTTTTTGTATGACTTGTCCTTGTTCAACTGGAGTTCTCTAGCCTTGTTCGAGGATGTTGATTTGGCCTGGAAATATTTTTATGATGAGTTCCTGAGGCTGGTAGACAAACATGCACCCTTCCGTAAATTTAGGGTGAAAGGAAGGAACAATCCATGGTTCTCCACTGAAATTGATAATCTTCTAAAAGAACGAGATAAGGCGTGGTCTAAAGCAAGGAAAAACAAACTTGATGCGGATTGGCTTTGTTTTCGACAACTTAGAAATAAGTGCACATCTTTGATAAAAAAGTCTAAATCTGAATTCTATCTTACAGAATTGACAAAAAATTTAAATGATCCAAAGAGGTTTTGGAAAACTGTTAAATCTACGTTTGCTTCAACGCAGTCAAGTGCTCTTCCGGCTGTGTTAATCAGAGATGGGTCACATGTGACAGAGAAAGATGAAATGTTGCAACTTTTTAATGAACATTTCATCTCAGCTGGCTCTCTTTTTGATGTTCTTAATCCTGTACAGCAAACTGCAGGCACTTCTACACCAGATGTCCAGAGTAAATGTTTTGGAGCACAAACATTTGCATTTTCCAAGGTGTCTTCTTCTGAGGTGCACAAAGCTTTACTAAACCTTGACACCAGGAAAGCAGCTGGTCCAGATAAGTTGGACGCTTTGTTTTTGAAATTGGCAGCTGACCTCATTGCTGAGCCGCTGTCACAAATTTTTAATCTGAGTCTTACCAGTCACAAGATTCCTAAAGTGTGGAAATCTGCTTTCGTGCTGCCGCTCCTGAAAACAGGTGATCCATCTGACGTAAATAATTACCGTCCTATTTCCAAATTATGTGTTCTGGCTAAGATATTTGAATGTGCTGTTAGCAATCAGTTGCGATCCTTCCTTGAAGACAACAACATTGTTAATGAATTTCAATCGGGATTCAGGAAGAAGCACAGCACTGTTACAGCCACCATGAAAGTTTTAAATGACGTAGTAAGTGCCCTTGACTGCAAGAAATACTGTGCTGCCTTGTTTCTTGATCTTTCTAAGGCGTTTGACACTGTGGACCATAGGTCATTGATAAAAACTCTTTCCAAAATTGGCGTCTCCGTCCAAGCAGCCGAGTGGTTCACTGACTACCTGTCAAACAGGTCACAGTGTGTTCAAGTGTCTGGGTCAACTTCCTCCTTTTTAGAAGTGTCTAAGGGAGTACCACAAGGTTCAGTTTTAGGCCCTCTGTTGTTTTCAATTTATGTGAACAATCTGTGTGATGACCTCCAAAATGCTTCTTACCATCTTTATGCAGACGATACTGTTATTTATTGTTGCTCCTCATCTTTAACAGAGGCCTACGAGCAACTACAAAGTGCTTTTAATATTGTACAATCTCGTCTGCACTTCTTGAAACTAGTTTTGAATGCTAAAAAAAACAAAACTAATGATCTTTTCAAATCAAAAAGAAAGAAAGGGGAGTATTCCTGGAATTTTCACTACTCAGGGTAAAGAGATTGAGTGTGTGGATAGTTCCAAGTATTTGGGATTTGTTATTGACTCTGGACTATCTTTTAAATTACACATTGCAGCTCTGGTCAGAAAATTAAGGGTTAAGATAGGATTTTATTTCAGAAACAAGTCGTGTTTCACCCTTAGAGCCCGAAAACTATTTGTTTCTGCCACTTTTTTACCCTTAATTGATTATGGTGATGTTATTTATATGTCTGCATCAGCTCAGTGTCTGCAGTCGCTAAATTCTGTGTATCACAGTGCTTTGAGGTACGTGACGGGATGTAGTCGCCTCACACATCATTGTGAACTTTATGCTAAAGCCCAGTGGCCCTCACTGGCAGTGAGGAGGTACACACACTGGATGCTGTTGGTGTACAAAGCTCTTCTCGGTTTGGTTCCTGTCTATCTGTGCTCCCTTCTTCAGAGAACCAAGAGCCTGTACAGTTTACGTTCCAGTGATTCTTACCTTCTGACTGTTCCACGTGTCCGGACGGAGCTGGGAAAGCAGGCATTTAGGTATTCTGCTCCCGCTGCATGGAACAGTCTGCAGTCAGATCTGAAGTGGTCCAAATTGTTGTCTTTAAACGCATTTCGTTCACTTCTTTTTAAAAAACAGTTCTCAACCATTGCCAAGTGCTCATGCTTTTAAACTTAACGTGTTATATAGTTGCCTTTAGTTTTTTATTTTTGATGTACATGTTTTGTAGTTTCACTGTTTGTACTTTGTAGTATTATTGTATTGTATTATTATTGTATTGTTTTACTGTTGCTCTGTAAAATGCCTGTGACGTGTGCTACAGACCTCTTGGCCAGGACTCCCTTGAAAAAGAGATCTCGATCTCAATGGGTATTTTCCTGGTTAAATAAAGGTTAAGAAAAAGATGCCACCCAATTCACAAAGCAGCAGCCCCTTACTGATCCTCCTGCTTTCAGACTACAAGGCGCACCTGTATATAAGCCGCACCAAAAACATTTTCAGAAAAAGTACATTTTGTCCACAGAAAGGCCTGACACAATTATAAGCTGCACGTTTTCCTGCTGCAATGTGTCAAAGTGTCCTATAGCTACAAGAACTTCAGGGTGTCTGCTCTGACAATTCTACCACAACAAAAATAATCATTAGCCGCAGGGCAAAAGAACAAGAAAACGTTTTATAATCTGGAATATACAGTACATACAAACCGTGTCACAAACACAAAAATGTGAAGCCAAATGTTTGCAAATGTGTTTGGTCACCAACACACCACTGAAGAGGAAAGTCCAGAAGATTGTTACGTATATTCTAAGAACTATTTACAATGTATTTATTTTTGACTGGAGTTTAACTATTGAGTTGCCTCTATGTACAGTGTATACAGTGTTTTGTGATATTGAACTATATAACAGTACGGAGTGTCTAAGAACATTGAACTGTTTTGCTTCGCAGTCCCCTGCCCACCTCCAAACCTGGCTGTAGTGGAGAGCAGCCCCGGTAACTGCAGCTTCTCTTGGGACAGTGTGAGTGTCACCGACCTGTATATGGCTTATGTAAAGACTGCAGATGGAGAGGCTGTCTGTAACACCACCACCACCAGCTGCTCTTTCTCCTGTGACTGCGGATACACTTACCTCATGAACGTGTTCGCCATCAATGAGGCGGGCAGTAGCCAGCCCGGACAGGTCCTCAACTACACCACAGGTACCAGAGAAACTGTTTGATTTGGATAATAACACAATTATTTCTGTTAGTTGAAACATGTTTATCTTTGTAACGCCAGTCATCAAGAGAGACTTTGTGTGTTAAAGCTGGGAGAATCTTTTTAAAAATTATTTGTTGACTTAAATTTGCACATTTGTAAGAAAGAGCCCTGTCTTTGGGTTGAGTCCTTTTTTTTCACTATTCTGTCTGAAAGAAGATGAAACCACAGGAATGGTTTTTACATGCATGTGACAACGGACAAAAACACATGCATGTGACAACGGACAAAAACACATGCATGTGACAACGGTCAGAAACACATGCATGTGACAACGGTCAAAAACACATGCATGTGACAACGGTCAAAAACACATGCATGTGACAACGGTCAAAAACACATGCATGTGACAACGGTCAAAAACACATGCATGTGACAACGGTCAGAAACACATGCATGTGACAACGGACAAAAACACATGCATGTGACAACGGACAAAAACACATGCATGTGACAACGGTCAAAAACACATGCATGTGACAACGGTCAAAAACACATGCATGTGACAACGGTCAAAAACACATGCATGTGACAACGGACAAAAACACATGCATGTGACAACGGTCAAAAACACATGCATGTGACAACGGTCAAAAACACATGCATGTGACAACGGTCAAAAACACATGCATGTGACAACGGTCAAAAACACATGCATGTGACAACGGTCAAAAACACATGCATGTGACAACGGTCAAAAACACATGCATGTGACAACGGTCAAAAACACATGCATGTGACAACGGTCAGAAACACATGCATGTGACAACGGTCAAAAACACATGCATGTGACAACGGTCAGAAACACATGCATGTGACAAAGGCCAAAAACACATGCATGTGACAACGGTCAGAAACACATGCATGTGACAACGGTCAAAAACACATGCATGTGACAACGGTCAGAAACACATGCATGTGACAACGGCCAAAAACACATGCATGTGACAACGGTCAAAAACACATGCATGTGACAACGGTCAGAAACACATGCATGTGACAAAGTGATTGACCCAAACTCTTTGAGGACCTTTAACTTTAATAACATTGGTTATTAGGTTATTATGTAGGTCTGTCATCAGAAACAGACCTACAGTTGCTTCTGCACATTGCCTCACTACATTTGTAGTTATTTTCGACTTTTTCAAACAATATTCATCCATATTCATCTACATATGTTTACAGTGTAAAACATATAATACCTAAGAGAATAGTCCCATTATTCTGTGTGGATTTGGACCCTTGCATTCCCGCAGTCTAACCTTGTTAATGCTCAGTGTTTTCCCTCCATAGAGCCCTGCTGTCCCACATCGCTGAATGTCTCTCTGGTCGGTGCCGACACTCTGGAGGTGGAGTGGCTGCGTGCGAGGGGGGCGGAGCTGTACGAGACACGAGCGCTGGACGGGTCACACGCTGTCCTCTGTAACGACACTGCCCCGGTGTGCGTACTGTCCTATCTGAGCTGTGACACCAGCTACAACGTCAGCGTGCTGCCATGCAACGAGCTGCGCGGCTGCAACCTCAACTGCCCCACACTGACCAGAGACACAGGTGTGCCTTTATAATGTACATGAGAACACTGACCACTGCACTGACCAGAGACACAGGTGTGCCTTTATCTACATGAGAACACTGACCACTGCACTGACCACTGCCCAGACACAGGTGTGCCTTTATCTACATGAGAACACTGACCACTGCACTGACCAGAGAACACTGACCACTGCACTGACCAGAGAACACTGACCACTGCACTGACCAGAGACACAGGTGTGCCTTTATCTACATGAGAACACTGATCACTGCACTGACCAGAGAACACTGACCACTGCACTGACCAGAGAACACTGACCAGAGAACACTGACCACTGCACTGACCAGAGACACAGGTGTGCCTTTATAATGTACATGAGAACACTGACCAGAGAACACTGACCACTGCCCAAACACAGGTGTACCTTTATAATCTACATGAGAACACTGACCACTGCACTGACCAGAGAACACTGACCACTGACCAGAGAACACTGACCACTGCACTGACCAGAGAACACTGACCAGAGACACAGGTGTGCCTTTATAATGTACATGAGAACACTGACCACTGCACTGACCAGAGAACACTGACCACTGCACTGACCAGAGAACACTGACCACTGACCAGAGACACAGGTGTGCCTTTATAATGTACATGAGAACACTGACCACTGCACTGACCAGAGAACACTGACCACTGCCCAGACACAGGTGTGCCTTTATCTACATGAGAACCATTAACCACTGCACTGACCAGAGAACACTGACCAGAGAACACTGACCAGAGAACACTGACCACTGCACTGACCAGAGAACACTGACCAGAGAACACTGACCACTGCCCAAACACAGGTGTGCCTTTATAATGTACATGAGAACACTGACCACTGCACTGACCAGAGAACACTGACCACTGCACTGACCAGAGAACACTGACCACTGCCCAAACACAGGTGTGCCTTTATAATGTACATGAGAACACTGACCACTGCACTGACCAGAGAACACTGACCACTGCACTGACCAGAGAACACTGACCACTGCCCAAACACAGGTGTACCTTTATAATGTACAGTACATGAGAACACTGACCACTGCACTGACCAGAGACACAGGTGTACCTTTATATACATGAGAACACTGACCACTGCACTGACCAGAGAACACTGACCAGAGAACACTGACCAGAGAACACTGACCACTGCCCAAACACAGGTGTACCTTTATAATCTACATGAGAACACTGACCACTGCACTGACCAGAGAACACTGACCAGAGAACACTGACCACTGCACTGACCAGAGACAGGGTCATCTTTATAATCTTTATCCAATCCACATGAGTGCATTCAAGCAGTTGCCCTCCTGACTTGAAGGAGGACAGGCACTTGGCAATATTTCTTCTTCATTTAAAATTATTTCACTTGTTGTATCATTGTATGAAAGTTATTATTGGATATTTAACACGTGACAGCAGAATCAGAATTTGGTTCTGTCCATTTTAAAATTTGATCCCAGTGTTGAATGTGGATTACTTGCTCGTCTCCCCCAGCGGCCTGCACCCCCACCGGGCTCTCCATCAGCGCTCTGAACTCCAGTGCCGTGGCGGTCAGCTGGACCTCCACTAACAGGGCTGCCACCTTCACCGTCACCGCCTCCGGGGATGACCCACACAGCTGCACTTCCGCCACTGGAGGCAGCAACTGTGACCTGGGAGACCTGAAGTGTGGATCCAGCTACGAGATCCAAGTCACAGCATCCAGCGCCGCAGGAGATAGCTTACCGAGCTACAGCAAGCTATATGAAACAGGTGAGCTACACCAGGACGCTACACCAAGCCAGTTCTGCAGCCAGCACAGAGACATCAGGGGGAGCAGCAGCAGCAGCAGTAGCAGTAGTAGTAGCAGCAGAAGCAGTACTGGTAGTAGCAGTAGTAGTAGTAGTAGTAGTAGTATCTCATTGATATCTGAGAACTGGACCAAACTCAAACTTTTAATAAATGCTTGAATTGTTTATAGGTTTATTTTGAGGCACCAGTGATTACATCACACTGATAACATGCACACACTGTAATTTTATTCATTCATTCATCCATCCATTTTCTTCCCCTTAATCCATTTCTGGGTCGGGGGGGGGGCGTCAGAGCTGCACCCAGGACACAGAGCACCAGCCCCTCACCCCCTCATCAGGATTTATTCATTCACTGATAAATTAATTATTAAGTCATTAAATAGCTTATATAATACATGTATTTTTATATAGCATCTTTTGCTAAATCAAAGACACTTCTTCATTCAAATTCACAATTATGTAATAAACTATTGCCACAACAGTCTCAGGGAACGCTGAGAGAAGTGCAACCAGTGCAATCAGCCCCCCTGATCAGCACCAAGATTCACAGACACCAGACTCATGTCAGTGAAGTGTGTCGTAAGGACACAATGACAGTTTAGCACTTTAGAGATGCAGCCGCCCAACTGTGGCTCCTGGTGTTCCCAGAGGTCTCCCATCACAGTACTAACTAGACTCTGCCCTGCTTAGCTTCAGAGGTCTGATGGGATCCGGCTTTTACGTGCAGGTGGCACCACCTCCTATAAGGCCAGAAATGTTTTTCTCAAATCCCAGACAAAGATGGGTTTGTACATTTGCAATATATTAATCACAGTTTAGAGATGAAACCTCCGGTCAGAAAAACATGGTTATAATAACAATAAGCTAGCATACGATGCAAGGAAGTTGTGTTCAAAGTATGGGCAAAGCCGGGCGTGAGCCTTTGTCTTTTAGCTAAGTTAGGTCTCGCTCCTTGGGGAACAAATTAATGAATTACATTGTCTTAATTAAATGAAGAGAAGGAGAAACCAACATCTATGAAATCAACCATTGATAGGACCGGACTGGGGGTAGCTCCATGGTATGGGGAGGTCATGACCCTGGGGGCTGTCCTGTTTAGATCCTTCTGCTTCAGGGAGCAGAAGTTGTTAAAGAGGAGCTACACCGTTCATTCTGAGCCGCGAGTTTAAGCAAACTCAAAAGTTATTTATATATTTTCTTATCTATTAAGAAATCATTAAGTGTGTGAATACTTGTTGGGATTTTGCACTGTAAAAAAAGAAACATGTATAAGCTGTGTTTTGGTGCCCAGAGCCATGCTGTCCAGCAGCCTTGACCGTGAAGCAGGTCACCCAGGCCATGAGCAACGTGTCGTGGTCCCCAGCCAAAGGAGCGCACACCTTCCTCACCGCGCTCAGCTCCAGCAAAGGCCACGCCCGCTGCCACACGGAGGACCTTCACTGTATTATGGGATGTATCACATGCAGCACCAACTACACCGTCACCATGGCAGCACACAGTCTGAGTGGACTAACAGCCAACTGCTCCTATGACGGTTTCTCCTCCAGTGAGTATCACTCTGCACACACATGTACTGATAGTAAGTAAGTAAGTAAGTTTTTATTTATATACCGCCTTTTCACTGCAGATCTGAGTCTCAAAGCGGTTTACAATTGTTAATAAAATGTTGTCTTAAAGGAAATGGCTGCATCCATTTGACAGCAGCGCTCAGAAGGTCCGGCAACAGAGGACCTCTGTTTTCATCTTAAATCAATTAGGAATCAATAATATATTAAAAATACAGTATCAACTCTTTCTTAAATGGGTATTTAATATAATTTGACCAAACTTGGACAAAACATCTCTGTAGAATTGAATGGGATCATGTAAAAAAGTCAAATCTTACAGAGATCAGTGTTTGTTGAGGTTAGAAATGGTTCTGACTCTAGCACATGCTGCTCAGTTGTCAAAGCGGATAATAAACCTGGATAGTGCTGCTTCCTTTGTGATACAGCTGAGATGTGTTTTAGAGCACTGTTTATGCCTATTTTATTTAATTATCCTCATATTCCCAGTATTCTGCACCAACAGAACAGGGCTCAGCTTATCTCACCAGTAGGTCAGCTAACTCAGATGTAAAGGTCTCAGGACTCAAGTCTCAGGTCTCAGGTCTCAAGTCTCAGGTCTCAGGTCTCAGGTCTCAGGTCTCAGGACTCAAGTCTCAGGGCTCAGGGCTCAGGTCTCAGGTCTCAGGTCTCAGGGCTCAGGACTCAGGACTCAGGTCTCAGGTCTCAGGTCTCAGGTCTCAGGACTCAGGACTCAGGACTCAGGTCTCAGGTCTCAGGTCTCAGGACTCAGGACTCAGGACTCAGGACTCAGGTCTCAGGGCTCAGGGCTCAGGTCTCAGGTCTCAGGGCTCAGGACTCAGGACTCAGGTCTCAGGTCTCAGGTCTCAGGTCTCAGGTCTCAGGTCTCAGGACTCAGGACTCAGGACTCAGGACTCAGGACTCAGGTCTCAGGTCTCAGGGCTCAGGGCTCAGGTCTCAGGTCTCAGGTCTCAGGTGTCAGGTCTCAGGTCTCAGGGCTCAGGGCTCAGGTCTCAGGTCTCAGGACTCAGGACTCAGGACTCAGGACTCAGGTCTCAGGTCTCAGGTCTCAGGGCTCAGGGCTCAGGGCTCAGGTCTCAGGTCTCAGGTGTCAGGTCTCAGGTCTCAGGGCTCAGGTCTCAGGTCTCAGGACTCAGGACTCAGGTCTCAGGTCTCAGGACTCAGGACTCAGGACTCAGGTCTCAGGTCTCAGGGCTCAGGGCTCAGGTCTCAGGTCTCAGGGCTCAGGTCTCAGGTCTCAGGACTCAGGACTCAGGTCTCAGGTCTCAGGACTCAGGACTCAGGTCTCAGGTCTCAGGGCTCAGGGCTCAGGTCTCAGGTCTCAGGTGTCAGGTCTCAGGTCTCAGGTCTCAGGGCTCAGGTCTCAGGTCTCAGGTCTCAGGACTCAGGACTCAGGTCTCAGGACTCAGGACTCAGGACTCAGGTCTCAGGACTCAGGACTCAGGTCTCAGGAGCTTCTACTGTGACAATGTTCAGGTCCAGGTTAAACAGCTCCCATTATTGTGCCTTGAGCGTTCTGATTGCCCTCACGGCAGGCCTGTGCTGTCCGTCCGGCATCAGAATCTACAGGACCAGTGTCAACGGTCTACGGGTGGTGTGGCGCTCCAGTCCCGTGGCCCATGTGACCCAGGTGAACATGACGGGGCAGTCTGACGCCTACAGCTGCAGCGCTCAACCCGGCGTGAACCACTGCGATCTGAGCTCAGTGCGCTGTGGAGACGAGTATGAACTGCTGGTGGTCCCGGTGAGAGCTGACGGCAGCCCAGAAGACTTCTGCCCTCACCGCAAGTATACAGGTCAGTGAGGATTAGAGCTAACTCAAATAGTCTCCCTGAGGATTAGAGCCAACTCAAATAGTCTCCATGAGGATTAGAGCTAACTCAAATAGTCTCCATGAGGATTAGAGCTAACTCAAATAGTCTCCATGAGGATTAGAGCCAACTCAAATAGTCTCCATGAGGATTAGAGCCAACTCAAATAATCTCCATGAGGATTAGAGCCAACTCAAATAGTCTCCATGAGGATTAGAGCCAACTCAAATAGTCTCCATGAGGATTAGAGCCAACTCAAATAGTCTCCATGAGGATTAGAGCCAACCCAAATAGTCTCCATGAGGATTAGAGCCAACTCAAATAGTCTCCATGAGGATTAGAGCCAACCCAAATAGTCTCCATGAGGATTAGAGCCAACTCAAATAGTCTCCATGAGGATTAGAGCCAACTCAAATAGTCTCCATGAGGATTAGAGCCAACTCAAATAGTCTCCATGAGGATTAGAGCCAACTCAAATAGTCTCCCTGAGGATTAGAGCCAACTCAAATAGTCTCCATGAGGATTAGAGCCAACTCAAATAGTCTCCATGAGGATTAGAGCTAACTCAAATAGTCTCCATGAGGATTAGAGCTAACTCAAATAGTCTCCATGAGGATTAGAGCCAACTCAAATAGTCTCCATGAGGATTAGAGCCAACTCAAATAGTCTCCATGAGGATTAGAGCCAACTCAAATAGTCTCCATGAGGATTAGAGCTAACTCAAATAGTCTCCATGAGGATTAGAGCCAACAACTCAAATAGTCTCACTGAGGATTAGAGCCAACTCAAATAGTCTCCATGAGGATTAGAGCCAACTCAAATAGTCTCCATGAGGATTAGAGCCAACTCAAATAGTCTCCATGAGGATTAGAGCTAACTCAAATAGTCTCCATGAGGATTAGAGCCAACTCAAATAGTCTCCATGAGGATTAGAGCCAACTCAAATAGTCTCCATGAGGATTAGAGCCAACTCAAATAGTCTCCATGAGGATTAGAGCCAACTCAAATAGTCTCCATGAGGATTAGAGCCAACTCAAATAGTCTCCATGAGGATTAGAGCTAACTCAAATAGTCTCCATGAGGATTAGAGCCAACTCAAATAGTCTCCATGAGGATTAGAGCCAACTCAAATAGTCTCCATGAGGATTAGAGCCAACTCAAATAGTCTCCCTGAGGATTAGAGCCAACTCAAATAGTCTCCATGAGGATTAGAGCTAACTCAAATAGTCTTCATGAGGATTAGAGCCAACTCAAATAGTCTCCATGAGGATTAGAGCCAACTCAAATAGTCTCCATGAGGATTAGAGCCAACTCAAATAGTCTCCATGAGGATTAGAGCCAACTCAAATAGTCTCCATGAGGATTAGAGCCAACTCAAATAGTCTCCATGAGGATTAGAGCCAACTCAAATAGTCTCCATGAGGATTAGAGCCAACTCAAATAGTCTCCATGAGGATTAGAGCTAACTCAAATAGTCTCCATGAGGATTAGAGCTAACTCAAATAGTCTCCATGAGGATTAGAGCTAACTCAAATAGTCTCCATGAGGATTAGAGCTAACTCAAATAGTCTCCATGAGGATTAGAGCCAACTCAAATAGTCTCCATGAGGATTAGAGCCAACTCAAATAGTCTCCTTGAGGATTAGAGCCAACTCAAATAGTCTCCCTGAGGATTAGAGCCAACTCAAATAGTCTCCATGAGGATTAGAGCCAACTCAAATAGTCTCCATGAGGATTAGAGCCAACTCAAATAGTCTCCATGAGGATTAGAGCCAACTCAAATAGTCTCCATGAGGATTAGAGCCAACTCAAATAGTCTCCATGAGGATTAGAGCTAACTCAAATAGTCTCCATGAGGATTAGAGCTAACTCAAATAGTCTCCATGAGGATTAGAGCCAACTCAAATAGTCTCCATGAGGATTAGAGCTAACTCAAATAGTCTCCATGAGGATTAGAGCTAACTCAAACAGAAGATTAGTAAGATTTTGAGATATATAATGTTTAATCAAATGAAATAGATGATAGATAGACAGATAGAGTGGATAGCACTCTAGCCTCTCAGCAAGAAGGTCCTGGGTTCAAATCCCGGTCGGAACAGGGTCTTTCTTAGTGGAGTTTGCATGTTCTCCCCGTGCTTGCGTAGGCTTCCTCCGGGTACTCCGGTTTCTTCTACCACTAAAAACATGCACACTAGGTAAAATCCTCCAGCTCTGGTCCTGACCAAGCCGAGCATCAACATCTGGAGATGGTTCCTGGGCGCTGTTACTACGGCAACCACTGCTCCTAACGTAAGCCTTAGGGCATCAGGGTCAAATGATTAATAAAGTGCATCTTTACCTTTACCTTTATCAGTATCATAGATTGAGAAAGGACCAGCACAATATATATATTTTTTGCTGGTCCTCATCAAAACTGAATTTTCCCTACTGTGGGGAAAATGAAGGACCTTCTTTATTTTTCGGTTTTGCTGCTTTTTTCGGTTTCTCCATCAGGTAAATAATGATCCTGCTGTGGTTGCATGCAATGGCAGCCTGTCAAAGCAGGGGGCGCTGTTGACTCTATGGGGCGCTGCTGTCAAGTGACCCTGAACCAACCAGGAGGGCGTTATGGGGCGCTCTCCATTGCGCGCAGACAAGTTATATTAATTGGTTCTTTATTTCCTTCTAGCGTTTTGGCGCCCCTGTCCTGTGGCGCCCCTGTCCTGTGGCGCCCCTGTCCTGTGGCGCCCCTGTCCTGTGGCGCCCCTGTCCTGTGGCGCCCCTGTCCTGTGGCGCCCCTGTCCTGTGGCGCCCCTGTCCTGTGGCGCCCCTGTCCTGTGGCGCCCCTGTCCTTTGGCGCCCCTGTCCTGTGGCGCCCCTGTCCTAGGGGCGCCACTGTCCTTTGGCGCCACTGTCCTTTGGCGCCCCTGTCCTTTGGCGCCCCTGTCCTTTGGCGCCCCTGTCCTTTGGCGCCCCTGTCCTGTGGCGCCCCTGTCCTGTGGCGCCCCTGTCCTGTGGCGCCCCTGTCCTTTGGCGCCCCTGTCCTGTGGTGCCCCTGTCCTGTGGCGCCCCTGTCCTTTGGCGCCCCTGTCCTTTGGCGCCCCTGTCCTTTAGCGCTCCTGTCCTGTGGCGCCCCTGTCCTTTGGCGCCCCTGTCCTTTGGCGCCCCTGTCCTTTAGCGCTCCTGTCCTGTGGCGCCCCTGTCCTGTGGCGCCCCTGTCCTTTGGCGCCCCTGTCCTTTGGCGCCCCTGTCCTGTGGCGCCCCTGTCCTTTGGCGCCCCTGTCCTGTGGCGCCCCTGTCCTGTGGCGCCCCTGTCCTGTGGCGCCCCTGTCCTTTGGCACCCCTGTCCTGTGGCGCCCCTGTCCTGTGGCGCCCCTGTCCTGTGGCGCCCCTGTCCTGTGGCGCCCCTGTCCTGTGGCGCCCCTGTCCTTTGGCACCCCTGTCCTGTGGCGCCCCTGTCCTTTGGCGCCCCTGTCCTGTGGCGCCCCTGTCCTGTGGCGCCCCTGTCCTGTGGCGCCCCTGTCCTGTGGCGCCCCTGTCCTTTGGCGCCCCTGTCCTTTGGCGCCCCTGTCCTTTAGCGCTCCTGTCCTGTGGCGCCCCTGTCCTGTGGCGCCCCTGTCCTTTGGCGCCCCTGTCCTTTGGCGCCCCTGTCCTGTGGCGCCCCTGTCCTTTGGCGCCCCTGTCCTGTGGCGCCCCTGTCCTGTGGCGCCCCTGTCCTGTGGCGCCCCTGTCCTTTGGCGCCCCTGTCCTTTGGCGCCCCTGTCCTTTGGCGCCCCTGTCCTTTAGCGCTCCTGTCCTGTGGCGCCCCTGTCCTGTGGCGCCCCTGTCCTGTGGCGCCCCTGTCCTTTGGCGCCCCTGTCCTGTGGCGCCCCTGTCCTTTGGCGCCCCTGTCCTTTGGCGCCCCTGTCCTTTAGCGCTCCTGTCCTGTGGCGCCCCTGTCCTTTGGCGCCCCTGTCCTTTGGCGCCCCTGTCCTTTAGCGCTCCTGTCCTGTGGCGCCCCTGTCCTGTGGCGCCCCTGTCCTTTGGCGCCCCTGTCCTTTGGCGCCCCTGTCCTGTGGCGCCCCTGTCCTGTGGCGCCCCTGTCCTTTGGCGCCCCTGTCCTTTGGCGCCCCTGTCCTGTGGCGCCCCTGTCCTTTGGCGCCCCTGTCCTGTGGCGCCCCTGTCCTGTGGCGCCCCTGTCCTTTGGCGCCCCTGTCCTTTGGCGCCCCTGTCCTTTAGCGCTCCTGTCCTGTGGCGCCCCTGTCCTGTGGCGCCCCTGTCCTTTGGCGCCCCTGTCCTGTGGCGCCCCTGTCCTTTGGCACCCCTGTCCTGTGGCGCCCCTGTCCTGTGGCGCCCCTGTCCTTTGGCGCCCCTGTCCTGTGGCGCCCCTGTCCTTTGGCGCCCCTGTCCTGTGGCGCCCCTGTCCTTTGGCACCCCTGTCCTGTGGCGCCCCTGTCCTGTGGCGCCCCTGTCCTGTGGCGCCCCTGTCCTGTGGCGCCCCTGTCCTGTGGCGCCCCTGTCCTTTGGCGCCCCTGTCCTTTGGCGCCCCTGTCCTGTGGCGCCCCTGTCCTTTGGCGCCCCTGTCCTGTGGCGCCCCTGTCCTGTGGCACCCCTGTCCTGTGGCGACCGTGTCCTGTGGCGCCCCTGTCCTGTGGCGCCCCTGTCCTGTGGCGCCCCTGTCCTGTGGCGCTCCTGTCCTTTGGCGCCCCTGTCCTGTGGCGCCCCTGTCCTGTGGCGCTCCTGTCCTGTGGCGCCCCTGTCCTGTGGCGCCCCTGTCCTGTGGCACCCCTGTCCTGTGGCGCCCCTGTCCTGTGGCGCCCCTGGTCCTGTGGTGCCCCTGTCCTTTGGCGCCCCTGTCCTGTGGCGCCCCTGTCCTGTGGCGCCCCTGTCCTGTGGCGCCCCTGTCCTGTGGCGCCCCTGTCCTGTGGCGCCCCTGTGCGAGACATACAGTGCATCTGCACTTTTTGCCCTTTGCACGCCGATGGTCGCTGTGTAAATGAAAGGCCAATCAGAAAGCCAACTCTATCGTTTAACTGTCGCAGCATCTCCGTGTAAACAGCCCCAAAGTGTGCTTGCAGTCTCAGTGACAGACTCATTCACCCTCGCTGTGGGAAGGTTCCGCAGGTCTTTCTTGCTACTGTCAGACTGTACAACGAACAATGAATAATAAACACGGCCGACCTGACCTCACATGTTCTGCATCTGAGCAATAATTTGAAGCCACATGTGTCCTTTACTTTCCTAATCTGTGCAATATTAACTTTAATCATATCAGAATGAATGTAATATAGAAAGCAATAACAAAAGCAGAGATTGAGTAGCCTGTAGTATACAATCAAAATACTTTCTTTTTGGAGGGGATTGGATTAATACAAGCTTTTTGCTTCATCCAATCCTTTGTCAAACCCCAAAAGTCCCACAATCTAACAATGTGTTTTTCTTTCTTTCAGTGACTTGCCAAGGCAGCGGCGGCGTGGGCTCAAGTGAGTTCACTGGTTCCATGTCATCACAGTCCTACACAGCAGTGTTCCCAACCAGGGGTGGGGGTCTGCAGGGGTGGGGGTCTACAGGGGTGGGGGTCTGCAGGGGTGGGGGTCTACAGGGGTGGGGGTCTGCAGGGGTGGGGGTCTGCAGGGGTGGGGGTCTGCAGGGGTGGGGGTCTACAGGGGTGGGGGTCTGCAGGGGTGGGGGTCTACAGGGGTGGGGGTCTGCAGGGGTGGGGGTCTGCAGGGGTGGGGGTCTGCAGGGGTGGGGGTCTACAGGGGTGGGGGTCTACAGGGGTGGGGGTCTACAGGGGTGGGGGTCTGCAGGGGTGGGGGTCTACAGGGGTGGGGGTCTGCAGGGGTGGGGTTCTACAGGGGTGGGGGTCTGCAGGGGTGGGGGTCTGCAGGGGTGGGGGTCTGCAGGGGTGGGGGTCTACAGGGGTGGGGGTCTGCAGGGGTATTACAGAGACTACTTTAAAACTACAATATATTTTTACATTCTAAACATTAAACCCAGAACAAAGTTCACTAAGGCGATAAATAAACTGTACATTTACATTTACAACACAATTTATAATAATTATACTACTGTGTTTATCATCCTGCAATTACAGGTTGGTTCAGTCCAAGCATGTGCTCATTGAGTAAAAAAAGAAAAACAAGAATATATATAAATTATTATAATATTAATGTTTATAAAAGAATACATAAATACATTGATTTTAATTTAATTTAATTCTGTTTGGATTGGACTAGAAATAGTTCAGCTCATGGTCTACGGGGCACAGGGCAAAAGGTTGGGAACAGCTGCTGTACTACTCAGTTATAATGATGATAACAATGTTTCTCTTTTCAGTTCTTTTCAGAGGGAAAAGGAGCCTGGAGTAGCCGCGCAGCACAACAGTCCGTCTGAACATTTTCTCCTGGTCAATATGATATATTTTGTTCTCAACAAACAATGTATTTCCTTTTGCTTCTGAACATTTTCAGATCCCATATATTTATATATATTAAAGGGGACATGACATGTCTAAATGGACTTATGCCGTTTTACAACATTCTAGTTTCATACAGAACTTACAGATACAGAATGTTAAAGTCATTTGACGGACTGATTATTCAGAAGCATGTTAGACTTTCTTAAAACAAATAAAATTACAAAGAATAATTGTTGAATCAAATAAAACCCTTTAAGTGAACGCCTCCTGAGACAAAGTTCAGCAGAAATGTGAGTCAAATGATGTTTCTGTAAGAGTTTCAGGATGAAGTTTGGCTTTTTAAAATAAACAGTCATCCCAAAGTGTTTTCTGTCTGTCTTTGCTGCTTGTGCCAGATTCAGGTTTTTAGTGGATTCTTTACAGAAAATACATGATCCCTCTGTCTTTAAATCTGGGGTATCTCTTTTTGATAACACAGTGAAAGAGGGAAGCGTGCATGGCCACTGTGTGTGTGTGTGAGTGTGTGTGAGACACACACACACAGTTCATAAATAACAAACATGTTACATTAGGTCAGCTGTGTCCACACTTTTCATATTCAGTGAAGTGGGACGGGCCCAGAAGACCTTTCCAGGGAGGCAGCCGAGCCGACTCAACTGGTTCCTCTCGACAAAGGAAGATTTTTTGTGTCATCAGATTTTTTATTTTAAATTAGCTTCAATTTTTTACATTTATTTTGAAATATTTAACCCTGAAAAAGCATGTTTGAATATTATTGTCTTTGTATTTTAGTCACTAAAAATTCAATGTGATTACAATTTCAAAATCACAAATTCACCTTCAAAATATTCAATCGTTTTTTTCTATGAAAAAAAAAGACAGTTTTTTGTGTGTAGGATGTATAAAAACTGACCAGATAACAGTTAGTTACCCATATTTAACTTAAAATTATACTGTAGAGATTATACCGGTGTTCACCCTTAGAGGGCGCCATCGCATTAATACTGTAGTCTATGGTTGAGACGTAACCATTTTGTAACCTGTTCATATGGATCTATGATAATAACATGTTCATATCATGGATCTATGATAATAACATGTTCATATGGATCTATGATAATAACATGTTCATATCATGGATCTATGATAATAACATGTTCATATCATGGATCTATGATAATAACATGTTCATATGGATCTATGATAATAACATGTTCATATGGATCTATGATAATAACATGTTCATATGGATCTATGATAATAACATGTTCATATGGATCTATGATAATAACATGTTCATATGGATCTATGATAATAACGTTCATATCATGGATCTATGATAATAACATGTTCATATGGATCTATGATAATAACATGTTCATATCATGGATCTATGATAATAACATGTTCATATGGATCTATGATAATAACATGTTCATATCATGGATCTATGATAATAACATGTTCATATGGATCTATGATAATAACATGTTCATATCATGGATCTATGATAATAACATGTTTCTCTCGTTATGTCTCTCCTTATGGATATATTTATATCAGTTTAACGTTCTGTCAGTTATACTTGACAGAGAAGCCTTCTGTGGACCCTCCACCTGCAGGAGGACCAGGAGGAGCAGTGAGGAGCAGGAGGATCAGTTAGGACCAGGAGGAGCAGGAGGAGCAGGAGGAGAAGGATGATCAGTGAGGACCAGGAGGAGCAGTGAGGAGCAGGAGGAGAAGGATGATCAGTGAGGAGCAGGAGGATCAGTGAGGACCAGGAGGAGCAGGAGGATCAGTGAGGATCAGGAGGAGCAGGAGTAGCAGTGAGGAGCAGGAGGAGAAGGATGATCAGTGAGGAGCAGGAGGATCAGTGAGGACCAGGATGAGCAGGAGGATCAGTGAGGACCAGGAGGATCAGTGAGGACCAGGAGGAGCAGGAGGATCAGTGAGGATCAGGAGGAGCAGGAGTAGCAGTGAGGAGCAGGAGGATCAGTGAGGATCAGGAGGAGCAGGAGGATCAGTGAGGAGCAGGAGGAGCAGGAGGATCAGTGAGGAGCAGGAGGATCAGTTAGGACCAGGAGGAGCAGGAGTAGCAGTGAGGATCAGGAGGAGCAGGAGTAGCAGTGAGGAGAAGGATGATCAGTGAGGACCAGGAGGAGCAGGAGGATCAGTGAGGATCAGGAGGAGCAGGAGGATCAGTGAGGGTGGTGCTCTGTGAAGTGGGTGGCAGCTGATTGGCACCACCCCGACCCTTTAGAACTAATGTAGATTTAGTGTAGGAGCCAAAATGTAGTTAAGATACTTTGTACAGCCCCCATTGACGCTTTTGTCGCCATCTAGTGGACGCACTGGGGAAGGGCTACATAAGGTGTGCAGTATCACCTGGAGGTGTGGCTGCAGTAGGAAGAGACAGTCTTTGACCTCACTCACTCACTCACTCACTCACTGTCTCACATCTGCCTTTCATTTTGATGTTGGTACAATTGGACATTTTTTTGTTTGTAAAATAAATATAATTTTCATTATTCAAGAATCTTTTTTGTGGACATTTCTTATTTTTTATGTGGAGCGTCAGACCCTTTTTGCTCAGTCACCACAAAGAAAGGATTTTTTCTGACTCTACACAAAGTCAAAGACTACTTCCTTCAAGAATCTTGGAGTAAGAAGATGGAAATGGATTCAAACACTGCAACAACGGCTGAAAACCATGGATTTCCTCTCCAAATGCCAAGGAAACAAAGAAGGCATGGTGAGGCCTAAAAAGCCTACAACTGGGTATGTACCACCCAAGCTACTCTTCACACTCTTCAATGCAAAGCTAACTTAAGGATAACTACAAAGGAAGAAGATCTGCTATAGGAGTGGACTTTATTGGAAAAGTTAAATCCTTATAGGAGTCTACTATAGGAGTAGATTATTGGACTGTGTTACAAAATGGCTGACATGGAGAAGACTGAAGAGGAGAAAGGCAACCCCAGTTCAAGAGAATGTGCAGTAAAGCTAAAAGGACTTAGAAGAGGAAAACTAGCACATTTAACAAGAAGACATAAAGACATAAAACATATTGTTGGAGTTAATGCAAGATGCTTCCTCTGTACAAGAAGTGAGAGACAATTTTGATAAATTCATAGAAGAAGAATTTAAGCAGATACATGCAGCCTATCATGAAGTATTAACAAATGAAGAGGCTGATGAAGACGAAGATGAATGGTTTAAACCTAAGATTTTAGAAATTAATGAATATGTTTTACATGTGTCCGAGTGGCTGTCTGGGGCTTCTAAAGGAAAGCAGGAGCCAAACGAATCAGCAGACGTGGACCCGGACCCAGGTCCAGGAGGGCTGGAGGACCAGGACCAAGAGGATATCAACCTGGACCTTTCCCCAAAGGACAGCGTCTCTAATGTCTCCAGAACCAGCGCCTCTTCTGTGGCATCTGCAAAAATGGTTGCTGAAGCATGAAGATCATGCTTTGGAGAAGCATGATCTTCAAAAGGAGGAAGAGGAGCTGAATCGAGCATTGCAGGCAGTAAAGCAAAAGCGTGAAGCTCTGGAGTTGAAAACCAAGCTAGATGCTTCTTCATCCAAGCTTGCAGCGCTCTCGATACAGGAGGGTAATGCATCAGGAGACCAAGGTAAAGATGCTATGAATGACTACTTTGCAGAAACATCAATTAAAGATGAAAGTGAAGATGGAGGTTTTCTCTCTCTGGACAGAGCTTATCATGCAGTTTCTATATTACAGACTCCAGGTGCTCGGCCCAAAGAGGGGGTTTACTTTCAAACTGTAAATGTAGGAGTTTCAAAGAAAGAAACTACAGGACAAAAAGTGACTTTAAAATCCTCTAGTCCAGTAAAAAGGGAAACTAGGAAAGTCCCAGTTATCTGTCCCAAAAAGGAGCAAGACATAGACTTTGACTCCAATCAAAGTTTAATAAATGTACTAAAAGGTCAAAATGAGATTGCAGCTTTACTTGTTCAACAGCAGCAGCAGTCTTCATTACCACATAAAGAAGTACCTGTTTTTAAAGGTGATGTGCTGTCATATCAAACATTCATCAAGGCATTTGAACACGTGGTTGAGCTCAAGACAAGAAATGGTGCAGATAGACTCTATTTTTTGGAACAGTTTACAAGAGGACTTCCAAATGAACTCGTTAAAAGCTGCCTCCACATGAATCCAGAGGCAGGTTATAAGAAAGCAAAACGCTTACTGCAAGAACATTTTGGAAATGAGTTCAAAATTTGTACGCCTATATGAAAAAGGCTTTAGAGTGGCCTGCTGTTAAAAGTGAAGACCCACAGGCATTACAAACATTTACACTGTTTCTTAGGAGCTGTTGTAATGCTGTGGAGGACATGAGTTACTTTCAGGAAATTAATCTGTCCTCAAACATGAAACTTCTTGTTATGAAGCTGCCATACAAATTCAGAGAAAGATGGCGATCGTTAGTATGCGAGTTTCAGGACAGGCAGAGGCCTCAGTTAAATTATCTTGTCAATTTTCTGGAAAAGCAAGTGAAAATACTGTGTGATCCTGTGTATGGAGACATACAGGACAAGCCCTTTTAAAACTAAAGAAAAGACTCAAAGAGCTAGACCAAAGTCAAATGGAAGTAGTTTTGCTACCACAGTTTCTAATGCTGCTTCTCAGCCCACACAGCAAAAAGAAAATACTTTGCAAGCTTTATGTGAACTGTGCAGCAAAAGTCACACATTAGAACAGTGTTTTTCAACCTTTTTAGAGCCAAGGCACACTGTTTTCATTGAAAAAATCTCGAGGCACACCACTAGGAGAAAATTTAAAAATATATACTCCACAATTTACAGTAGTTCTCATCAAAGTGTTTTTAATAGACATGAACACAAAGAAAACATTATTTTGATCATTATTATAATTCTACTCACTCAGTGTGAAACCTGTGCCTGTTTGGATGAACACAGAACTGATATCCTGGCAGGAATAGAAGAAAGACACACACGAAGGTCTTCCTCAACAGCTCTCAGTCTTTCTCTGTTTTTAGTCTTTATAGCAGTCAGGCTTGAAAAGCTCACCTCACACAGATAAGTGGTTGAAAATGGGAGCAATGTCAAAATAGCTTTGTTTGCCAGAATGGGGAACTCTTTGGCAGTAGCCAACCAAAAACTGTCCAAAGGTAGATCTGCAAATTTTAGCTTTAAACCACGGGTTTGTCTCAGTTCAGTTAGTTTCTCCTGCTCCTGTAAAGTCATGTCCATTCCCCCAACTGATGCTGAGCTGTATGGGTCCCTAACCCAGTCAAGGTTTTCAGTGGAGGCTGAAGAAAAATAAAATGACATCCTCTCCTCAAGACTTTTTAAATGATTAACTATTACATCACACAATGCATTTGTGTTTACATCTTGCCATTGTTTGGTGAGTGTGAACATTTCAAGATTCCCATTTTCCACATGTTCCTGCCAGAGATGTAACTTTGAACGAAATCCATTTATTTTATCTGTAGGTTTTCGTTTCGGCCTTGCATTTGTGTGTTAAGTTCATTCAAATGATGAAAAATGTCTGCCAGGTATGCCAGCCGTGCGCACCACTCATCACTTGCAAGCAGTTTTGCGGAGTCGGACCTCTCGTTAATCAGAAACACTTTAAGCTCCTCCCGCAGCTCATACACACGGGCCAAGACCTTGCCGCGCGACAACCAGCGCACCTCCGTATGAAACAGCAAGGCTTTTTGCTCTGCTCCCATTGCCTCACACAAAGATGCAAATATGCGGGATTTCATGGGTCGTGACTTCACAAAGTTTACAATGCGCACGGCATCATCCAACACAGGCACAAGATCTGCTGGTAAAGTCTTGGCTACGAGGGCCTCACGATGTAAAAAACAGTGCGTAACAATAACAGCTGGATTTCTCTCCTTCACTCTGCTTACGAAACCTTTGGTGCGCCCGAGCATGGCTGCAGCTCCATCAGTGCAGACACTTATGCAGTTTTCCCACTTAAGTCCTCCTTGCTCAAGATATTCTGACGTGACCCGAAATATTTCCTCTCCTGTTGTTTTTTCTGGCAGTGATTTGCAAAAGAGGAAGTTTTCTATGATTACGTCTCCATCCACAAAACGTGCATTGGCCAGAAGTTGAGCATGCCCGCTAATATCAGTGGATTCATCAAGCTGCAGTGCAAATGTCTTACTGATGCGGATTTTTTCCAAAACAATAGTTTCAATGTCTGCAGACATGTCATTAATACGTCTGGAAATGGTGTTATCCGAGAGAGGGACTTTAGCTATTTCTTTAAGCTGCCTCTGGTCCGAGCATCTCATTAACAATGGCTTTGCAAGCGGGAAGTATTAATGTCTCTGCCACAGTGTGCGACTTTTTTGACTTAGCTACAAGTTCAGCAACGTGGTAACTAGCTTTAAGTGCCTTCTCGTTAACTTTTGTTTTTTTTTTCATGAAAGTTGCCTGTTTCTCAGTTTGTTCTCGCAGCCGAGAAAAATAGTGCACATTCTTGTTCTGAAGCGACGAATGTTTCGTTTGCAGATGGCGTTTAAGCTTGCTTGGGACCATAGCACTGTTGGATAGCTTTTCACCACACACCAAACACAACGGACTCGGTTTCAGTGCATCCCCGGTGAAAGTAAATCCAAATGAAAGATAGTTTTCGTTGTATAGCCTTGCGCAATTGTCTTTCTTTTTACCGCCACTCATACTTGGGCCTTCACCTGGGTCCAGATTTTGTCCAGGGTCCAGTTCGGATATGGCACCTTTTCTTTTCAAAAACTTCTCCATCACTGTCACGTCTCGCTAGCCACAATGCCTCTGTCCCCGCTACCTGTCACATCCTGTGGTCTCATCCATGCACTACTTCTAATGTCTCAAAGTAATAAGCTATCTGCTGCCACCTACTGATATGAAAAAGTATTACATGGTTACCAGTCACAACAAGACAGCACTCGCTGGCACATCATTTGCGGATGCATCTATTTTTAGACAAAGTAGATTAATTTCTCGCGGCACACCAGACAAAGTGATACGGCACACTAGTGTGCCGAGGCACAGCTGTTGAAAAACACTGCATTAGAAGACTGCAAGTTATTCAAAACCAAAAAGCACGTGGACAAAGTTGCATATCTGAGAGAAAGGGGAATGTGCTTTGGTTGTTTGCAGCAAGGACATATAAGTAAATTTTGCAGACAAAAACAAACCTGCTCTATATGCAAAAAGCTGCATCCTACTGTTCTCCATATGTCTCAAAATGACAAAACTGAAAATGTTAAAGTAATGACTTCAGGGACAGGTGAAGTAAACATGGGTGACGCCCGGCCAGGTGTAATCCACCCTAAAGCATGTGGGCATATCGGGGCCGGTACTGAAACAAGCAATGTGCTTTCAGTAGTCCCAGTCAAAGTTAAAGCCATTAAGGGCAGTAAAGTAATGGAGGTTTATGCTTTTATTGACCCCGGCAGCACTGACACCTTCTGTACGGAACGTCTTATCAGTCAGTTGGGACTAAAAGGACGAAGAGCACAAATATTGTTAAAAACCATGGGCAATGAAAAACTTGTACCAACCAATATAGTATCAGGCTTGGAGGTGTCTGGGATGTGTGACGACAGGTTTTTACCCCTCCCAGACTTGTACACTCAAAAGGAAATGCCTGTTACTACGGACAATATACCAAAAAGGCAGGACCTAGAAAGGTGGTCTTATCTACAAAGTATTGATATCCCTAAAATCAATAGTAACATTGAGCTACTCATAGGAACCAACGCTTCCAAAGTCATTGAACCCTGGGAAATAATAAATAGCCAGGGAGGTGGTCCTTATGCAGTACAAACATTAGTGGAGACTACCTGCTGGCCCTGGCTGCGAAAAGGAAACATGCTGTTGGACAGGTAAAAACCAGATCCACCACACATAAGCTGTATTCCCAACTTCCAGCAGTCAAGGGTCACTACCTGTCCATTCAGGATCTGGGCAGGGCAGAGACATCCATTGTATCCTTCTCTCAAAGGCATGCTTTTCCAACAGAACTTCAAAAGCTTGGTACAGGTGGTGAAATTCACAAGAGAAGCACCATTTATAGGCTCGATCCTATTCTAGCAGATGGACTGCTTAAAGTAAGGGGAAGACTGTCAAAAGCAACAGTTTCGGAGGATGTTAAATATCCCATTATACTCCCCAAAAGCTGTCACATCTCACGTTTATTGCTGAGACACATACACACAAAGTATGGACACTGTGGCAGAAACTATGTTCTATCTCAGTTACGTAAAAAGTATTGGGTGGTAAATGCCAATACTGCTGCCCGAAATATTATTGCAAAATGTGTCCAGTGCAGACGGCTTAAAGGCAAAGCAGGAGAACAAAAAATGGCGGATTTGCCACAAGAACGAACTCTACCAGACCTCCCTCCTTTTACTAATGTTGGCATGGACTACTTTGGCCCAATAGAGACAAAAAGAGGGAGAAGTTTAGTCAAA